TTCAAAACAAAATTAGAAATTTTCTTTTAAATTTTTTCATTACTAGTACAGAGGAATAACAAAAAATTCAAAAGAAAATTTCTTATTTTATTTTGAAATTATGTTTTAGATTATTATCTCTATTTATTTTAAGATTTCACAAATGAAGAAATGTTAACAATAATTTCTAGTTTTTGTATAAAGAAAATTTTAAATTTTATTCACAATTGCTATTAACCAAAAATGGTAAATTAAATTACAAATAATGTTTATCATTATGTAAGTTATTTTTTAAGGTAAGGGATTGTGAAATGCCCCATGTGAAGGCAGAAAGGTAAATTGATCACGTGCGTGCTATACTTTTTCAAAATTACTCATCAAACTGATTAAAGGCAACTTACTCACATAAATTCAGCGTGCCAAATCTTTCTAATGCAATAACACTCCGAGCACTTTCCCTTTCTCAATTATGGCAGGCGCAGCGCATCGTAATACCGAGAATGACGATCAAGAGATTTCTGAAGAGTATTTGAACGAAAATGACGTGCTCGTCGAAGTTGGCGATGATGGCGATCTACCCATGGACGAGGACGATAGTGAAGACATGGAGCACACAGGACAAGAGGGTGAGGATGTTGAACCAATGGGTGACGTTGTACACGAAGACAACTCCGTTCAGCACTTCCCGGAGCATGGGAAATCAGTGTTCGCGATCTCTATGCATCCAACTCAGCCTATAGCAGTGTCCGGCGGTGAAGATGACTTCGGCTATCTGTGGAACGTGCAGACCGGCGAAACTATTGTAAAACTTACTGGACATACCGATAGTGTGACAAGCACTGGATTTAGCGCGGATGGCGAACTTGTTTCGACGGGTGGAATGGACGGACACGTTAGGATTTGGCGACGCGTTGGGAAAGAAAACTGGACGGTTTGGGAGTTCTTAACCGACTTACAGGGACCGGACGAGGTCATGGTGAGACCTTCATTGAGATAATCGCAGCTTTTGTCATGAGTATTAACTTTATATTAGTGGTTAAGGTGGCATCCAAGAGGTGCTGTCCTGCTTGCCGGGTCAAATGATGGTACCGTTTGGTTATGGCAATGTAAGCAGCATATTTAATTTTGGTTTTTCACACTTGTAAATCTCATATTAAATAATCATCATAATGCAGTACCCTCTGGCAACACGATGCAAGTATTCGCAGGCCACACCGGTCCCGTGCAATGCGGAGAGTTCACTCCTGACGGTAATAAAACTTCCTTCACTATTCCTGGCTGACTATATGCTAACATGGATTGGCTCAGGTAAACGAATAATAACTGCCGACGGCGAAGGCACGCTCATCTTCTGGGACCCTCGTTCCCCTGCACCCGTGTTCAAGCTCTCCTCATCCGACGCGCGCTTCAACCTTGACGGCATCACCTCTCTCTCAGTCAACTCCGCATCTACTCTTGCTGTCGTTGGTGGTGTTTCCGGAGGCGTGCGCGTTGTAAGCTTAAGCAAGGGAGACGTCGTTGGAGGACTGGAAGGTCACAAGGAAGGAGAAAGTGTCGAAGCAGTTCAATTTCTTGACCTAGCAGGTGCTGGAGCGGGAAGCGGTGTTGTCGTCACGGGTGGTACAGACGGTAAAGCGTGCATCTGGGACTTATCTACTATGCGACTACGGACAACGTTAGAACATGAGGTGAGCCTCGCTCTCCGTGTTCCCCTTCCATATACATGCACACAGATGCAGATGCTAAACCAAAACTAAATTTAAATCTGTTCTAGGACGCAATCACTTCACTTCTCGCACATCCATCACCCAAAAACCACCTCATCACATCCAGTTCAGCTGACAAGACTCTCCGAACATGGGATGCCCGAACGGGCAAACTATTGAAAGAACATAAAGGTCACTCTGGTCCGGTTCTTGGTGCTGCACTCGGCTTGGCTGGCTCGGTAGTTGTTAGTGCTGGTGATGATGGCGTTTGTCTTGTATTCGAAACGGAATAGATTTATCTTTCCTTAGGAGTATTGTATATCCCTAGCTCTGCTCACTTTTCGTATTTCTGTCAGATATTGCTTCAGTGTATCTCCTGAGGACAATGATTGTATGAATGACAAGCTCGGGTTTCACAACTCAAGTTTCTGCTAGACATCATTCTGGAAAAGTAACGTATACAGAAACAGGACGATGTTACATTATTCCTCATATATAATCATGTATAAATAATGCATAAATCTGTTATACACATATATGTCTTCCTTCTTCAAATCAGATCACCCTCCCCGAAATCCTCCACACACATAAAATTTCCATTACCTCATATCCCATTCTCCCCAAACCTGATTATTCGGCAAAGCAGTCACAGGCGTTGTCGTATTACCAATCGGTGTCGTCTTAACAAGTTCCAACAGCTCAATGCTCTGTCCATGTACGTCATGTTTCTTCCCCCTTCTCGCCATAAGTATTGGCACACTATCCAGCGTCGTCCCCTGATCATCACCGCTAACAACTGATGCATTATCAGATTGCACGGCACCGGAGTTGGAATTAGGATTTGAGAACCCGGCATTGAGAAGTCGTACGTCGGAACCTTCGATAACTTGTACAAGTTGTCCCGTTGCCTTGTGTCGAACCTCGACAAAGTCCGTGCTGAAGAGTAGGATGTGGGATTGTCGTTCCGCGAAGCGGACGGCTTTGAATTCCCATCTGACAATCGCGGCGTCCCGACGTGGGAGACCGTGTCGATCAATGTAACAGGCGAAGTCTACGAGGTGAAGAGTTGTAAGGTCAACGGACTTATCCTGGTAAGAGGCCAAGGGTGGCACTGCTAACCTTCGTATATAACCATATTTTCATCTCTATCAACGCGAGCCAGACCCAAAGGCTTCGAGTCGTCGCACCGTTCTTTCAAGCCAGCAACTTTCGAGTCCGAAGAGGCATTTGTGAAATCCGGCACAACCAACATCGCAGAACTAGACAAGCTACAAAGAAGAAGATGGAGAACACACAATGTCAGGAGTAAAGAGTGATCAGAATACACAGAAATTCTCACTTGGTTGGGTCTACGATTGTTATGCCTTTATCGCCCGCGACAGCAATCGTCTTTGATAGCATGGTCATCTCATTAGCTGACCGTGGCACGTAGAAAGGCTGCACGAATATGAGCTTCTACACCGAAAGAAACACAGACATAAATAAACACATACATTCCCGAATGGCCTGAATGACGACGATTTACCAGGACGCGAGCGCGAAATGGTTGGTTGTTGGGCAGCTTCAAACGTATGCACAGTAGTCTGCCTAAAGCTCTTTGAAGCATATGCAACTACACTCCGGTCTCAGTGACATACTTTGAACAAAAAGCAGAGGAAACTAACCGATAGTACGATCTCTAACAAAGCCAACTTTCGCTAAGATGACGTTATCTTGTCCAGATATCTTCTCTACAGACGCATCGAGCGCGTTTGGCGGGGAGTTATCCTGGCTTACACGCGCCATGATATCCATCGAGTAGGAAAGCAAAAGTGCATCAGTATGAATTATTATCTTATTGTGCTGTTGCAGCGCAGCAATGAAAGAGGCATTTTGGAAGCTGAGGACACGTCGGAAGTCTAGGCCAATCGTATATCAGTTGGGAATTGCGCAGATCAGTTCAAAGGACTCACTCGGTTCTCCTCTCATGCATACGTAAACACCGCCTTCGGTGCCAACAATGAAAAAGTTCTTCCCTCCGCTGACTATAAGATAGCAAAATTAGTTGGAAAGAAAGGCAGCGGCCAGGTAGACGAACCAAAAGTGGCTGCAGCGGTGATAGCTCCCGTAAAAAGCTCCGTAGACGACAGAGGTATTCGTGGACTTCGTACACGGAACACACCATCATCAATTGTACTTGGCGCGAACCACTAAATGCAACAAGGATAACCGATAAAGTCAGTGTATCATTCATTTCAATGTCATTTCATGGCGTACTTTATTGGCGTCTTGCCTGGCCTGGTGAATCGCCATCGTCTCCGTCAGGACATCGCGCCACTTCCGACGAGCAGCCTCAGTATTGGTATATAGCGTATAGCGACGCGATGCTTTCGCTGCCGCATGGTATATAGTAAATGGGTATTGTTGGCGTGTCTGGTATCGTAGGCTATCAAGGAGGCCGCCCTCCTCAGACCTATCTTTCCGGTTTTCCGACGGTTGATCAAATTGACCGAGTCGAAGATATTCAAGAGGGATCGGCTGACAAAGAATCGTTCAGTTGATAGGTACGTTGGAACAAAGAGGGCTACTCTTACTCGTGAAACAACTTCATATCTTACGCTGCCTGGCCGTTTATGTTCACGGGTAATTAATACTGTAGATAATCAATAAGGAAAGTTGCGACAGAGTGAATGGGAAGCGACGTACAATAGTGATCGAGAAGAACGACAAAGAAATCATTCCAGCCGTGCCAATCAATCTCAGACCGCAATCTTCTTGCAAGAGTCTGCGAGTGGACCAATGTCCGGCTTTCGTCCTGTTCGTCAAGGTCCTAAATATCAAAGACAAAAATAAGCTAGTGATCTATTCGTGAAGTGAGAAACACTGTTTACGATGATTTCGCCACTCCTGAATCGCAAATTCTCCATCACGTTCCAGAACTTGACTTTGCTCTCCGCTGCCTCGATACCAGGCTGTGTGCTCTTCACGAAGTCACCCAGTATATTGGTTATCAGCGGCAATGACTCCCTATCCGGATGTTCGTCGTCCGTTTTCTTCAAGAGAGTCTCGAGAAGTAGGGATAGCCGTGGGAGGCGAGTAACGGGACGAGAGATGAAAGTAACAAGATCGCGTTTACGGATACGTGGATCTTGTGCAACATCCTGGAGAAACTTGGTATAGGCGGGGTTGCGTTTGATCTCTGTGCGATGACGGGCCTCAGCAAGAGGGTAGTGTTTAATATATTCTTCATACGCTGGCTGAAATTGAAGGACAGCTAGTGAAGAACAAGTTGTCAAAGGTAATGATACTTCATGATCTGTTCAAGACTTACTTTCAAGGATAATATCTGATACACTCTGGATAAGAGGATGTTGATCTCGCTGTCGCGCAAAGAGAGAACCTAGCATGCGTTGATGATACGAGAGCACGTCGCTAATATTCCAGAAGACATTATGAATGTAATCTTCCGCTTGACCATCTTTGAAAGCATTACTCGATCGTAACGGATCGACGATGACCTAAGGCAACATCAGTGGGTGGTCTCCAATCAGCAAATTAAGGATTATACGCATACATCGAAGACAACCTCGAGGTCGCGAACATAATCTCTCTCAGATTTGAAAATCTCGAACAGTATGGATTGACGCTGAACCTCCTTTTCGCCGAGAGCTTCACGCGCAGTCTCGGGTACTAGCAGATGCCATTCTTCATTATTGGGTGGAAGCTCTCCTTTTTGGAATCTAGTCAATCCTTCCTCGGACTCCAACCTGTTGGATTCGAGTACGTTTAATCAGCATGACAAGGTTACATGTTGAACCAGACGCAAAACTAATAGAGTAAAAAGAGAAAGAAAGCGTACGTCAAATTTGATAACTCCTCCGTTAGTGCATCCGTAGAATCCTAGCGAATTTGATAAATACAGATGACCGGAATAAAGCGCAGATCAAGTGAGGGGATCAAATTAAGCGTATTTTAGTACTTGCCTGGGACTGCAGTGATGGAGCATAGGAGGAACGCGTATCAGTTCGCTGGAGTGTCAATGCGGGTCCAACGTCGCTTATAGATTGGTGTGGCAATCGTCGCAGACTTGATGGGGCGTGTGCACGCTGAGACAGGCTGCGATGGAGCTCTGGTTCGGGAAAGGCGATGCTTCCTCCACTCAAGTCAAACGAGCTTGTAGCAGAAGCTGTTCCTCCCGCGTAGCTCGCTGGTCGTTGCATGTTACTCCCTATGGAGCCGTGCCGATGCACGCCATATCCATTCTGTGTTTGTTGTGCATAATAATTGGCAGACGGGTTTGGTGAATTCGGCGAATAAGGATTCGCAAAATAGTCTTCATCGCTGTGTCCATTAGATCGGGCTGCATTTGGTGTTAGTTCACCACCGTTTCCGTATCCATATCCATAATTGTGTCTGTTATAGTCGTATCCTTCGTAATAGTCGTTGTCTGCATTATATTGAGCATTCGCGGCTTCAGCATACTGCACCCAATTCATTGGCGGTGCTGGATACAGCAGGGCATTATGTGACCCCGACCCCGAGCTTGTTCCATTCGAAGCCGCGTTCATGATTTGAGGCTTTGGTGGGAGTGGCGGAGGCCGTTCATGTCCCTCAGTCGGATTGGGCAGCGGTCGCGTCGGGATTGCGACATGTGGCTGCGGACGACCGGGATGGTTGTAGTTGTAGTAGGACATGGGAGTGTATTGTTAAGAGATGGCGAGCATTGACGGAAGTACGCAGCTCTGGTGCACTGCAGTCGAGTCGAGAGATGCACTGCTATGGCCGAGATTGGAGATTAGGTATGAGTGCGATGACGTAATTAAATACGGGATGCTCGCTCGAAAAGTCATCTTAATATGCCCAAGCCTGCAGACTAATATTAATTTGAAAATTCATCTTCCAGCTATGAATGCTTAATACTCGCTAAAATAAATGACGTAGAAGAATGCGGCATGTTACATTGACCTCGTAGATTTCCAGTGCCATTTATTGGACCCTTTGGCACCCGGTAAACTTAAAATAAGACGCATACACTCGCTGTCGGGTTTCCTCAGGCACATCGATCCGCAACCATAGCAGCGAGTGCAACCAGTTCACTTCACACTATAAAGCTAGAGGAAGGCGTTGATGATTTCCCTAGTACACCACTGTTGTCTTTGGGACAGCAATTCAGCCAGGCGCTTGTATTGACGTTACCCATCAGGGCAATCACTTCTGACTTTTCAGTCAACCTCATGTCCTTGTTTGCTAATGCAGAGGGTGGCTCGTTCTCTTATACGCTCACTCCACCTTGCTCAAGCCAATTCAGCCTCTCTGAATCATCTACGCAACATGCTATCTATTTATGAGTTCAACGAAGACAAGAATATTTGGCTTGCAAAGCCTTTTGCAATCGCAAAGGATGCACCCCCTGCACCATCATTGGTCCAGATCCTTACGTGGAATGTCGACTTCATGGAACAAGGAGTGGACGAACGGCTCGAATGTGTCCTTGAACACGTACAGTACGATGTTTTCAAGTGTCCGAATCACGAAGCACCAGCGCCTTGCGTTATCCTCCTGCAGGAAGTAAAAGCGGACGCATTGATTGATGTGCTTCTCTGCAACGAATGGGTGCGGTCTCATTTCCACGTCACGCCAGCCTCCAATGAGGACGACTGGCCGTACAGTTCATACTATGGCAACATCACTCTGGTTGCAAAAGGAATACCTGTTGCGGCCGTGTCAAGCCTGGACTTTGCTAATTCTATCATGGGCCGTACTGCACTGATGGTGGATGTGCTACTGACCCCGCGTGGGACACCCGACACGAACACGGACATAGTCGGAGGCGACGGCGCTTCTGGTGCTCTAAAAATTCGCATCGCGAATGTGCATCTGGAATCTTTGCCATTGGGCGCTGCAATGCGTCCGCAGCAGCTCAAGCTCGTTGCCGACGCGCTGCAGGAGCCCGGGCTTGATGGAGGGTTTGTTTGCGGAGATATGAATGCAATCACGGAACGGGAGCAAGAAAAGAATTACTCCAAGGAGGTGGGGCTCGATGATGCATATGTCGGAGCCAATAATGATGGTCATACATGGGGAAATTACCAGACCGAGTACCCACCTGGGAGACTGGATAAAGTGCTTTATACACCCGGGAGAAATCTGACCGTTGAGAATCCCCAGCGGATTGGCGTCGGACTGAAGACGAAGGACGGACTGTGGGCAAGTGATCACTATGGTTTGCTGACGTCGGCTTGGATTACGAGGAAATGATGGGAGGAAAGTTCGATGGTTTCGGCACACAAATTTCGCGTTGATACAGCTGATTTGTCTGACATCATACGTCCTCGTCAATTTCACACATTGGCACAAGCAACCGTCCAGGTTCATTCTTGCTGGTTTGCATAGTCATACCCGTCTGTGTCTTAGAAACACACGCAAAAGCTGGCACTGCTTGTCGTCACCTTTTTTTTAGAATGGATTTGAGGTATTTCCGCAGTCACTCTTGGGTGCAAAACGCCAAGTTTTCGAGCATGATAGCGGCTTCCATAAGCGGTAGGTCCCTCGGCAAGCGCCATACAAAAACCCACGCGTCATCTCGTTCGACTCTTTTCCCCAGGCAACCACTCATCCCCGTCTTCCTCGACCGACTGCTGTCTCACATACACTCTCCCATCGCTCACTACTTCCACTAATCCAAAGCCATGCAGTTCCGTTTAGCCTCTATTTTCGCGCTTGCCGCTGCTATCGGCGTCAGCGCTCAGCAGCTTCACATCGATACCCCGTACGTCGTTGCTAAGCACATCACAACACACTTCTGCCACTAACAGCTGTGCTTGCATCTTTGTGTTCTCTTCTGTAACATCTCTGGCGATATGTATATAGGAGCAATGTCGTCCAGTGCCTGCCTCAGCTTCTCACTTGGGGTGGAGGAACTGGTGGGTTTTTCGGTTCCTTATCGCTCAAGTTGAATTTGAACTGATTTCTTGATTTTCAGGCCCATGGTTCGTTGTACGTATCCCTTTGAATGACTAGAAAATAGGGTGCCTATCATACTCACATGGCTTTGAAACTGTTTTGAATCTGACAGAGGTAAATATCATTTATGAGTTTTCACATTTGCGATGATCTTTTCTGAGCATTTCTTTGCAGCGTGCTTCCTGGCGGCCAACCTGGTGCTGCTGCGCTCATTGACTTCGGTCAGCAGTCCGGCACGCAGTTGACTTGGGTCGTCAACATTGCTGCAGGTGTGTGAAAAGGGTGACAACACAGTGAAAATGTTGATTAATTAATCTTTCCTAATAAGGCACGTCTATTGGTCTTACTGTCCGTGATCAAACTGGTGCTACTGCCGAATCCGCTCCTTTCAACATTGGTTCGAGCAGTACGTCTTTTGCCATGAGTTGACGAATAATCCTTTGTTAAAATTAACTTGTGATGTAGGCGACAGCAGCTGTGTTGGACAGCCCATTTCTACTGTCTCAGGTTCCTCAACTGGTGCTGCTACTGGTGCAAGCACTGCTTCAGGTGGTGCGACTACTACTGGGTCTTCGTCTGGTTCGACCACCTCGGGTGGCTCTAACAGCGCCACTGGTACCACGACGAGACCATCATCGTGAGTCCTTTCTTCACCAGGGCTTTATTATGTTTCTAATTATAGTTTAGCACTGGAAGCGGCACCGGAACTGCTTCAGGAGCGGCGACCTCCTCCAGCGGCGCTGCGAGACCTTTCGCAGAAATCGGATCTGCTGGTCTTATTGGTGCTGTCATCGCTGCAATTTTCGTTTAATTTCCCGAAGATTCGGTGCTAATGCGTGCAATGATTTGCGACACTGTGGATTGTCCAAAAGATATGAGGGCATGACGAATGGACTCTAACGCTTGGTTTTCTGTCTTTTATACTTTGAACACTCCATCCCAACTATCCCTGCCGGAGCGACTCGTCCTAGCTCGTTCTTTCTCTGTCTTACCATTGCGGAACGATAGTTTCTCTCTTGATTCGTAGCTCGAACCTTTACTTACTTTGTCTTTTTATATTTTGAATTTCACTCATCTTTCTAAACATTGGGTCTCGAGGTCTTACGTGAATTGTTTGTTGTATGGCCTCGCGCCTGCTAGTTCGATTTTGTTTGTTCTAGACTCTCGTTAATGGATGTTTGCGATTTTCTGCTCGGAGATGAAGTGGGATTAGTTCCACTTTTAGTTCGGCGGCGGATAAGTGCTGCGCATTGATGGAATATGCTAGTAAGTGACTGTTCCTTTTTCGTACTAGCATGATATCATCGAGTTAAAAATAACCTTGTACGCCTCATGTTCAGCGCATTGCAAAATTGCAAAATTGCATTCGCTCTATATACACATGACTTATATTGCTCTTAGTTGAAAGGACAATGTGTATGAGGCGAGATGGCACAATGATTCTATCGCTAAATAATAATAATAAAGTATGAGGCTGCAAAGGTAGGTTGTATCAAAATAGCTCTGTCTATATTGCTGTACTTTTAGTACAGCCAGGTTAATTAGATATGACCTCACGTGCATCCGGTCTCCTTTTAAGTATCTCTGATAACCTCTATTCCTACAGTCTGAGTATGTGAAGCAGGTCGAGACAAGGCTGATCCTTCCAATCTGGGGGGAAAGCAATATTTGTTGTGTACTGTTTGTTGTTCGTTTCGCTCCATTAGGCACTCATTTAAACTCCGCCGTTTCGTTTTATCAGAATTTTCGCGTTGAAGTTTTTCTTTATCCGTTCGTCCGCTTCAGCTGCAGTGTCTCCGCTCGCGTTCCGCGTGCCATTGGGCTCTGGTACAGCAGATTCTTATTTTAAGTATAGCGGCCGGGATCGACAAGCCTCCTTAATCGCTCTGATCACGCTTGATTCACGTCGATACAGAGTTTCATGATGTGGCAACATGAATAAATTGTTGATAGTCTTCAAGTGTCTGGGACTGCGTCTTGCATATTAGGATTTGTTAGAGTTCGTGATAGATTTCGTTTGGGTATGAAATATCTGCCTCAAGATAACAGCCAGCATTTGTTTTCCTAGGGACCAGTAAGTGGCGTGTAATGAAACGTGCTTGTGTTGCCAGACGTGACTGCATATACATTTAGCAAAATTCCAATTTTTATTACTCCTCATCACTGCACTTGTATTATATGCAAAGTTATCACAGTTATGATGAGTTTCCTCAGTCTCCTCCTTTGCACTGCCTGTGACTGCCAAGTGTATTTATGTGGTTGTGGTTCACTGGTTCGCGTGAGAGTCACGTGTGAGTGACGGAACGTGTCGCTATCGCGTCCTCGAACCTCAGATGAGAGTGTAGCTCTTATTCGCTGACCACCATGGCGCTTGTCGGGAGAAGCCCCGTCAAGGTCACGGCTGCGCCATCAACAGCTCCCCAAGAGGCTATGGCTGCCTCTCTTCAGGCGCATATCGACGAGCTAGTCCAGAAGAATCGAACATGCGAACACACCATACGGCGTCTTCAGCAGACATTAGCCGAAGAAAAGGAGCGTGGTATCGAAGTCGTCTCTCGACTTAAAGCTGCTTCACAACAAGAACGCGAGGAATGGCGCGAAGGGTGTGACTCGTTACTTGCAAGCCACCGGATTGTGCATCTGCGTACTCGCATCGAGCTTGATAAGGAGCGTATGAACGTGCTACTGGAGAAGGAGGAGAATAGGAGAGAACGGATTAATATTCTCCATCGTGACTATAGGCTCACTCTTTTCCAAGCAAAGGAGTCAGAGCTTGAGGCCAAGATTGGTTCCTTGGAAGATGCACTGGAGGAACTGACAGAGGAACACGAGCAAGACGGGCAGGAGTATATGGAGAGGATCGGTTCTCTGGAGAAAGAACTACAGAAGGCAGAGAAACTGCGCAAAGAGTCCATCTCACGATTAAAAGCTAGAGAAGCTGAGTTTTCATCTTTACAGGTTCGTTCTTACCGTTGTAATCTGTATACATGTATAAATGAACTATTTTTGGTTTTTGAACTGTAGTCTGAGGTCGCTACACTACGAAAAGAGAACACAGCAATGAAAGCTTCGTCTGAATCAACTTCCGTGAACTTGGAGCGGACATCACTCCAACTTGAAGGCGCAAAGACGAATATAACTGAATTGGAAAGTGCGAATGCTGAACTCAAGCGGACCAACGTAGATCTCAAACGCCAGTTGGATAGGTGGCAAAGCCTTGAAACGAAGGGTGGTGCTGAAGTGGAAGAGATGCGGAAACGAAGGATCGAACTGGAGGTCCAAGTGAAGGAACTGCAGAGCAGAGTGAAAGAGCTGGACAAGTCCGACAGCGACAGCACGAAGGCACTGGAGAAAGAGAAGAAAAAGGTCGAGAAACTGAAAAGAGAGAATGACCGGATGGCTGTTAGTTTCATTTTGATTTCCGTTAAGTTTGCCATTGACACTCGTTACTTCGCACAGGAGGTTACGGAGGAGGCGCAGTCAATTGCAAAGAAAGCCCAGGATGAATACGATGAAGCCGCTAAGCAACTGCGTGTAGCCCAAAGGCTCATTGAGAAACTTCAAAGTGAGAAGCTGTCGAAAGATCATAAGAAGAAGGTGAATATTTTCGCTGGGATGTACATAACTTAGCTGATAACCTAGCTTATTTGTTCTTATAGGGTCGACCGGCTCAACCCATCGATGTACAGGCTGCAGAAGTCGAACCGGAGAGCGTCGAACCATCGGAGCGGGAAGTTGAAAAGTCCCTGACACAGGCTCCCAAGTCTCGGGTTCGCCCTCGACCTGCTGCTAAGGGAAAGGTATCAGATAAAGAACTGGAGTCCACTGAAGAAGAGCCTGAGGTATCTAACGAGCAGGATGACGAGGATGAAGACCAACAGCCGAAACGTACAGGCAAGGGCAAAGTTCGAGCACAAAGCGAGAATTCTAATGCGGTGAAGAAACGCAAGAACAAGCCGCCTGTTGAACCTGAACAAGACGAAGAATCCGAAGGGAGAGATGATGAAGAGAATTCAAGAAGAAAGCGAAGGGGAAAGAAAAAGGCAGATGCCCTCTCGAGTGATTCGGAGGACGACTCTAAGAAGCGAGCTAAGAGCAATTCGAACAAACGCGACAAGGTAGCTGACAGCGACGAAGATTCATCACGCAAGCCGGATACTACCAAGCGTCGGGCAAAATCGAAAGATAGCCAGGTGCACGATGCAGGAACCCGAAGTTCGAGTCAACCAAAGGCTCGAAAGCCAAGCTCAAGTCAAGGTACTCGAACAAATAACGTAGATAATTCAGGAGAAATGGATGTTCAGCCAAAGAAGAAGGTAAAGAAACTATTCTCGTCCACTCAACCAGAGACGTTCCAATGGGATATTCTTCCGAAGGTAAGCACTGGTCTTTAGTATCATGAATGACTCTGAAGCGCTGTGTAGGGCGAGGGTTTTGGAGGGTTAGAAATTCCGACTCAGTTATCTCCTGTGAAGGAGACGGACACAGTACCGACACGTTCAGTGTTCGGTAAAGTAGGCTCTGCATTTGGGCTCAGATAGTTTTTGGGATGCTGCTTGTATTTTGTCTTATTTTATTTTTTGTCTGTATTTGTGGATGTGTGTTGAACTGTGTTGGCATCACCGGGAAGTTCGAGGCGTGGGAGATTACTTCTTTTATCAGTCGACCATTTTCCTTGACTCGAGCACAAGCGGCTTCACTCCTTACCATCATCATCTATGCTTTCATGAGCAACTACGACATCGACGGCGAGGCGGACTCGCTTTTCGGGTCGCCGCCTCCATCTCCTGGGCCAGGAAATAAAAGAGGTGGGTCACCAACGCTCGCGCTGCCAGGCAGCCCAAGCTCGACCTTCGTGTCGTTGCCAAAAAATGTGGGGACCATTGCACTTCCTGGTTCCCATAACATATCTGAACTTTCAGTCAGTCTACCAGCGTCTCCTCCAGGACCGCGGCCCACTCAGTCGGTGCAGCCGTGTCATCGCCAATACCGTTTCGCAGAGTGGATTGGACCAAGGGCCGTCTCTTTACCTGCCGACGATCTTCGGAACGCTAAGCCTCGTAAAAAGAAGAGGAAGGTCAAGTCTGCCTCCTCCTCGCAGAATGCAATTAGGCCAGCTATGTCGCTCCCGGAGACTAGTAAGCCGCTTCCGCCGAACTTTTTGAGGAATCAGCAGGCATTGCTTGGGTTAGCGGGTCTTGTTGGAAGGGTCAATCCAGCGCATTTATCTCCTCAAGGCAGTCGGGGATCAACTGCGGAGAATCCGATAATAGTGGAGGAGTCATCGTTGCCTGAAAAGGCATGCTCCTGGAAGGCTCGTCAACCAAGCGTTTCGATGACAAATAGTCAAGCGATTGCGGATACACTGGTTTCTCAGGGCAACATATTTCCTGTCCTACGCTCACTCATGCCGTACTTTGGATTGAGCACCGACGTCGGGTGTTGTACTGCCAATAGTCAGCAGCAATACCGAGTCCATGAACCGGATCGCACTTCGTCCGTCCCTGCTCCGCCGTTGAAGAGACGGAAACTCAACTCCGTCCCGGCTGGCGCAAAGGACTGGGATGTCCCATATCCATTTCCTCCTAACGAAGGACCGCCAGGTTACCTCGAATCGTGGCAGAAGAAGCGAGGAAAGAAATTGATGATGCAACTTGTTTCCTTGGTACGTGACGCAGTCCAGAAGGCAGCAGCAAAGTCCTCTGCACATGATTCGGTAGGAACTGAGGTGCAGAGAGAGCCGGATAGTCCGCCGAGCCAGCGACCTTTGTCAGAAATGAACGATTCAACTACGTTCGCCGCGCAAGGAGCATTCAACTCTCCCGTCTCGTTTACTTCATCTCCGTTCGACCAGGACGCTTTATTCCCCGATTTTTCATCCTCAACCCACTATGGCGTGGAGCAACCAGTAAACTTTGCTTCTAATTTCGACTCGCTTTTGGGAGCCGTGAATGACGCTCTTAATGATCCAAACGTGCAACTCGCTGGCAACGACTTGGCTGCGATGACCTCGATCGGATATCCGTCCACGACTTCATCGTCTCCTACATTAACGCCTTCAACCGGACTTTCTACTCCATGCGGATTGACTCGACCATCGACGGTGGAGAATAAAGAAAATGCCTACCTCTTTCAGTTGGACGACTTCAATTTTGACGACATTCCAATTGATCCTGCTCTTTTGAAGTTTTCGTGGTCCAATCCCCCTTCATCAGAGCCAATCACGACAACGGAGACTCTAGTGGGTGGTGCTCTGGCTCCTTCTGAAGCTGACCCTGTCGCGCCTGTGGCCGCCCCAGAAACGAAGTCAGATTTGATACCCACAGATGATCCAATGAACACGGCTTATTTTGACCTAGGTTTGTGGCAGACCATTGTCGAGAATCCGGATTTGTTTTCATCTATATTTTCAGCCAACCCAACGCCTGTCGAGTCATCACCATTCACTTCTGGAGATACATCGATGCCCGAATCGCAAGACCATCACTTCTCTTCCGTTCTTGCCCAAGATTCACCAGCACCTCCTCCGAACGTTCAAGCCTCTTGTTCGTCGCGGAACCAGAGTGCGGACAAGCCCGTTGCGAAGAAGGCGGATCGCGAGGATGTGCTAAGACGAGCTCGAATCCGGCGCGAACAGCTGGCTGCTGAGATAGCGCGTGCCAAAATAGAGTTGTGGGAGACAACCATTGAGCAAGGTGTTCTGACTCACCTCTCGAAAGATAAGGAACTCGCCGCGAAGGATTGATAGGCGTTTCGTTCAGTCTCATCATGTTAGACAAATGAATATATATCAGCAACGGCTGTAATGGTTCTTTTCTTCTTTATTCAACCTTCATGAAAGTTTCAGTTACTTTTCAATCTGTATAAGCAATGACAGATACCATTAGTTTAGAAAGTCTTTCCCACTCCATATTCGAAGCGATTATCCTTTAATGTAGACTTGCATGTAGCACCTTCCAGTCGCTTGTCTATTATAACGATTTACGATGCCGACTAAACGACTAGATGGTCCAGCGCTTGTCTTCAATTCTGAACTGGAGAATCTGTTTAGTCTAACAACTATATTCCATTGATATTTAATTTACTACATGTCATTATCAAGGTGTGCGAGAAGAGATGCATGCAATACTACATTATGTACCCTGTTTCCTACACTCTTGCATCCGTTCGCTAGTGCTGTTCCTTGCACACTATTCCTTAATGATCATTCTGATCACCGGTCTCCTGAGCGTCGGTCACGCTCACGCTCACGTTCGCCGTCGCCGCTATTTCTACTCCTCCTGTGCTTGTGCTTGTGCTTGCGCTGACCATCATCGGGAATAGATTCAGTTTCTGCTTCAGTATTCTTATACGTGCCTGTCAGTGTGCTGTTCCGTCTGTTATAAGTTCCCGTGAACTCGTCTGTTTTTGTGGTCGTGGAACGTCGCCTGTCAGCAGGAAGAGCAGCTTTATCTGATGAACGTCTCTTCGCCGTCACCCTGGCGGGTTGATCATCGTGGCAGTTCGGGCACGTGTCTTCGCATTTGCATGACACCTTGCACCCACCGCAGCCAGTAGAGCACTCGCATGAAGACATAATGGTCTCGTTATACAGGAGCGATTCGTGAAGTTCGTTTTTCTTCTAGCTGGTACGAGTTCGAGAATGATTAACGAATTGGCAAAGGAAGTTCTGAAAGATCGGTGCACTATTTATATCGTAGCCTACCTACTTTGCATAAGATAGCACAGGAGTATGTATGTCATTTACTTTGCTATGTTATTCTATTGATGGGATCACATATCCATGACGTTTGTCGTAATCATACGGAAGGTGCCGACCAATATTGAGCAATGTAAAGTGCAATGGTCGTAATGCAAGCCCGAATATAATATACTTTGCACTATCGATTACCATATTAGCATATGGCGATCGCCGGCTTGGCGTACGTGCATTATTGATGCATCATTGTATGTTACGATTTACTTACTATGATGAACGTGGAATAGGACAGGTTTGAAATGAGTACTGCAGGTATGTGGTGGCAAAACTTGTTGAAATTGCCACCCCTAGAAAAGGTAATCGTATTTGTAAAAGATTTGCATACCATATTGAGCAAAGAATCAGTCCATTCAATCAAGTTATATTCCATTGACCTTTAATTTATTATATGTGCTTATCAATGAATGCAAGGAGATGCAGGCAACACTACACAATGTGCATTATGTAGTATGTACTCTGTTTCATACACCCCTGTATCTAGTCACCAGCATCGTTCCTTGCACACTATTGTTCTATGATTATTCTCGTCACCCCGACTCACCTGGGCCTCTGCTACTCTCGCCTGTTGTCTAGCGTCGGTCGCCGCCACTGCCACCGCCTTGTCTGCGCCTGCGCCTACGTTGTTCGTCATCAGGAATAGATTCAGTGTCTTGTTGAGTATTCTTATAAGTGCCGGTCAGTGTCTTGTCTTGTCTGTTATAAGTTCCCGTGAACTCGTCTGTAGTTGTAGTCGTGGAACGTCGCCTGTTAGTTGGAAGAGAAGATCTATCTGATGTACGTCTCGCTTCCGACGCCCTGGCGGGTTGATCATGGCAGTTCGGGCAAGTGTCTTCGCATTTGCATGACACCTTGCACCCGCCGCAGCCAGTAGAGCACTCGCATGAAGACATAATGGTCTCGTTATATAGGAGCGATTCGTGAAATTCGTGAAGTTCCTGTGCTGGAAGTTCGAAACAGATTAGAGAATTGACGAAGGAATCCTTGAAGAACAGTGCACTATTTATATTGTAGCCCAGCTACTTTACATAGGATGGCATAAGAGTATGTATACCATGTTATTCTATTGATGACATCAGGTATTCATGATGATTATCGTAATTATACGGAAGGTGCTGGGCAATATTGAACAACGTAAAGTGTGCACTGTTCGTAATGCAAGTGTAAATAAAATATACTTTGCACTATCGATTGCCGTACTAACATATAGCAATCACTGGCTTGGCGTACATGCGTTATTGACGCATCATTGCATGTTACGATCCACTTACTAAGATGTACATGGAATAGGAGATGTTTGCAGGTTTGAAATGAGCGTTAATGTCGTACTTTCTTAAGATAGCTAGTATTTTGCGAATCTGGAGAATGTGGGAGATTTTCCGATACAAACAAGCGCGTCTATAATGGTGATGGTAAAAACTGTGCCGTACTCCGTCTCCTCGAGACTTTCGTAGTTACTGTGGCATGAGCAAAATTAAGAAATATTGCTGCTTGCTTGCCTCTTACTTCAAGTTACTGTTGATCTTTATTTTGACAGAGTTCACATGGGTCAATTGATTATTAGGTAATAGATAAGATAAGCAGTACAACAAGGGAAGGCGGCCAAGTCACCATACAGTGATGTCAACTCTATAGTAACTACCGACAACCTGACTGCGTGAAGAAACTAAATACCTGCATTCATTGAATACCTTTGCTATTGTTATTTCGTCTACAACACCGGCTTCTTTGCCGTAGTAACTATGCAGTCGTTAATCAATGCTCAACTGGCCACGCAAGCCTTCCGTCAAGCACGCAGCGCTACACAGTCCTCGTTCATACTCTCACTTTCCCGGCAACCTGAAGTGCTCTCTCCTTATTCTGGTTGGATAAATCATGCTCGACAGCATACGCAGACTCGTAGCTTTCATACATCGCGAAGCGTCCAGGATTTCCATTTCGACACGCACCATTTCGTGCAGCGCTTAGAACGCGAGGGACTAAACCGCGCACAGGCCGAAGGAATCATGACTGCGATGGCGGAGGTTATTGATGAGAGTATACGCAATATTACGAGTAATATGGTTACGAAACCGGAGCAGGAGAAGGTATGCCTTTCCGTTTACGTTCTAGTTTGGGCACTGGGTTCAGCTTTCCATTTCTCGTTCCCCATCTTTTCATTTCTACTTTGTGTTCGTGGAAATGTACTCGTGGCTGAACTGGTTTCTTCCACAATGTAGCATCAATACACCCAAAAGGTGGACTTCGCGCAATTAAAGTCCGAGCTACAAATGATGGAAAAGAACGATTTATCGATGATGAAAGCAGAGAACGACCGACTTGTAACAGACCTCGAACGACTCAAGCAGCGTTTGCGCGAAGAGATTACGCGTACGCAGGCTGGTGTGAGGCTTGATCTTAATCTTGAGAAAGGTCTGTTCTTGCATCTTTCGACAGTCCTCGATTGATGTCTAAAGGCGAATGGCTATAGGCCGGATGCGCGAGGCGTCTTCTGGACAAGAACTCAAGATTAAGGAAGTCGATACACGTATTGAGCGGGAGATAGCTGAGTTACGCACGGCTATCCAGGCTTCGAAGGTAATGTCCATTCCACTCTATTGGGGTGGTCAATGTTGATGCATATCACGTTGCTAATTCATTGCTTGCGACTCCTCTAGGCTGTCACTCTTCAATACCTTGTTGGTTTCGGTACGTTTATTAGCATTCCTGTCCTATGCTTAGACTTTTCGCTGATACACTTTGGTTATCTATCGTAGTGACAGGATGTTCCGCTCTCCTCATGGCGTACTTGCGTTTTCGTTTATAGTGCACATTGCATATTACCTTCGTGCATTCATACCATTACTTACTCGCAGAGCTACTTCTCCACCGTCACCCCATACGTGACCTTTAGACTAGCATTCCAGGAAGCTTTTACAGAACAGATTATACAAATTCGTATTTGTAATGACCAAGAAAGATAGATCAATACATAACTGACCAAGATATACCCTCCTGAACACGTAGGTACAACAAACTGAACCTAAAATAAACCAGGGACAAGAAACAAACAGGGATAATATTACTGTAATAACGGAGAGAGCAGTATTCGATTTTTTTCGAAATGGACTGGAGTGGAGCATCAAGTGCAGACGAGGAAAGGAAAATCAAATAATAACTCATATATCATAATTACTACAATACCAATGCGTGATTGTGCAAGTGTAAAGTGGAGGTGGGCGCATCAAAGGATACTTGAGGAAGAGCGCCGTCAGGATGTTTTATCTAATTTTTGCTTCGTACGGCGCGTTTTCTGTTCGAGCTCCTGGCGAGTCATGCGTGTACCCAGGATGACATCCCAGTGAATGAAGAATGGTTGAGCAAAGTTGCTTTTGATGCCGATAATCTGGGAAAGTAAAATAAAATAAAATAAAATAAAACATTTGTCAAATGCTTCATGGAAAAAGAAAATCAGAAGGAAAAGCGTACCTGGTGATGAATATCATGATAATCCGCATTATTTCCAAAGAACACTTGAAGCGGGTCAAGTGGGAGGCGGTACCCGCAGTGATCATCAATTGTTTTCATAACAGCGAATGCAAAAAGGAAGACTCCTTGACGGATAGTCATCAATGACAAGGAATGCGCAACTGCTGTACCGATAGTGTCGAACATGAGACCTTCAAGGGGGTGATTGTAGAGAGCGCCGTATGCGTAGGGGACGTAGAGACGGTGATGCCAGGAGTGGAAGTTACGGTAGAGAAATTTGTTGACGTGGAAGGCGCGGTGCCAGAAGTATTGCCAGGTGTCGATGCAGAGCCTGTGCACGGCATTAGAGTGGTTAGAGTTCGGTGTGATAGTTAGATGAGTTAATATAGGGAATTAGGACTTACATTGCGAAGAAAAGCTGCGCAGTGGGGATAGCCCACCAGTACGCGAACCAGACGGATGCAGGTCCGTAGGCACGTAAGAACTTCAGTGCTGTCGTCTCACCAAGCAAGAGTTTCGCAGAGAAAACAACACCATGTCTGATGGACACGAGATCCGTGAGGAAGCTTGTCCCCTCGTCGGAGGAATCAAGCCACCAATACCCCAGCGCGGTCTGGATAATCTGCTGAAACACAACCCAGGAGAAACAGCTCCAGCGCGAAACGAGGTTCCGAGCTTTCACCTCGGCGGACTCGTGTATCCGGTACTTATGAAGCGCGGTAGAATCAACTGAGTCTAGGACATGGAAGAAAAGGGAGTAGACCCAGTATGTAGCGACGGGTGAGATGAGGGAGAGGACCTCGTCTGATACAGACTCGAGGATTGTCGGTTTCGAGGTGAAGTAGAAGGGCGGTGCGGAGTGGACATAGTGGTATAACCCCGCGTCGTCTGAGAAAAATGGGATTTCTGTCGTGTTCATCATCTTGCTGGGCCTGAGCGTCGAAAACTAGGGTCTAGTAGGGTGAGGCCACCGCAACTAGGACGTGGGGAGATTCGGAATGGAGCGTAGCTCTTCATTGAAAAGTGTGTGAGCGGCACGTGAGTACCCGATGTATTGAATTGTCGGAATTGAATTATTTATCAGATAAGATGGCATTACTCATTTCCGATGTCTCTCGCTCGCCGTTTCTCCTTGGCTTGGAATGTGAACACTGCAATCGTTCCATGCTGATATTTGGCATTCAGCTTGAACAAGTCATTATTTTGGTTATTAATGTTCTTTTTTTCTATATTATTTCGTGTTGTGCGCACGTCTTACATTCTTTTTTTTTCAAGTCCTCTCTGATACCATAATTTTCGTACATTACATTTTATTCCAGTTCAATACGAAGGTAAATAGACATTAAGATCCTCAGAGCCATACTCAATTACCACACGCGTTTCGCTTCCGCCTTAGCCTCAGCAGCAATCCCTATCCTCTCCGACTCTTCCATCAATTTCTGTTCCATTGCCTCTTGCTCCTCCCGAGACGCGCCACTCTTCGAAGCAGCTTCCTTCATCTTGTTCAATTTAGCCTTGTGAGCTCTGTAGCGCTCGTCGGTGCCAAAGATGAAGTCAAGGTAGCGGAAGGAGGATGCGAAGTTGTCCATGAATGCCATGTGGTGGTAGTCGTGGTGTTCTGCGCCTGCCCAGAAGGGGAAGATGTGTTGCAGGGACCAAGGGAAATCTGAAGTGCGATTAGTCAAAACGATATTGGGATATTTTTGCAGGACAAAGTCGTACCGTAACCACTGTGCGCATCAATAGCCTGGAAAAGACGAAGCGTCACCCATGCATAAACTGTAACGATATGCAACGACTGCGTGAAGTAGCAATACAACAACGGTCCGCAGAGCGTGCCCATTCCCAAGACTAGCACCTCTATCGGATGCGCGTACTCTGCAGCAAGACCGAAGGGTGCTGAGTATTTGTGATGAATTTTATGGATGTGTTTGTAGAGAGGGCCGTAGTGCATGCATTGATGTGCGCAGTAGTGGAAGAAGTCTTCGAAGATGAAGAAGAGTGCGACTTGGCCGAACATCGTGCGCCATGATGGGAATGGGACTTGCCAGGTGGAGAGGCCGAAGTATTCTGCGAGTGGGTGGAAGAGCCATATCTATATTAAATATGTACGTATTAGACACTAACATTCATACCGAGAACTGTGTCGGAAACAGACCTGAGGAAGCTCAATAGTAAAATGCGAGAACAAAACAAGCTTCGTGCATTCCCATTCATCAAGTGCCGTAGGGAGCTTGTTAGGCTGCAGCTTCCACCTCCGGAAGTACGGAATAGAATCAACGATGATCCAGGGTATGCACCGTCCGAAGTAAACAATTTCATGGAGTAGGAAGGACATTACACCCGTTGCAATTGCTGGATCGTTGAATAATAGGTACCATTGTGCCCATTTGAGCTCTAACCAACTCAGTGATGTGAAATCGACGTTTGCGTAGAGGAATTCGGAGGCGTAGTATACGGGAGCGGTGACGTTCGACATTTTTTTAATCTTTTGCTGCCCGAAGAGAAGAGAAACACAGAAAGAGAGCAAGCGGATAGACAGAAAAGACGGCTCCTGAGTATTTGTAGTTGATCGCAGGTGAAAAAGTCAGGAGATCCCAACCAAGTTTTGTAAAGTACCGTGTGAGCCATGGGTTGACCCGATGCCGTTTCAGTAAAACTAATTTTGCATCGACCCACTTCCATTCGCACTGTTTTTCGGGAGACCCGAGTTTATCCGGAAATTGATGATCTAGCCGTTGTTAATTTAATCACGCTTCCTCATTGCCTTTGGAGTTGCAGCAGGAGAATGAAAGCTGTTTTCCTTTGCTTCTTTGTAACACAGAGTCCATGGTCTTGACAATGACATTGACATGTGTTTAGTAAATTGTGACCAAGAAAGACGAATAAAGTTTCGGCGTTTTGCGGCTTCCAAATTATATTATGCGTGGCACGTGCACGCTAGACCGTGAGAACTCAAGGAACAAAGCGAGACAATTCCATCTTACAGCATTTTCATTGGAGGGGGGTAGTGAGAGGTAAGGAGCAATGAGGATAAGTGAGTGTATTTACACTAGAAGCAGAAATCCATTCTGAGACCTGGAAATTTGTCTCAGAATATATTTTCAGACAATCAAGAGTACACCATAATATCCTCTAGAGCTAATCAAGCACCTATATGAACCAAGTTGACCCATCTCTCAGTCCGAATGCCCGGTCGTTCTTTAAGTTCTATAGCTGCTTTACGAAGTCCAGCAGCTGCCCGCTTGTACCTTGACTTGGCCTCGTCACAGTCGCACATGTACTCATAAACCGTTTTGGCGAAAAATGGCCCATCCGCATCAAGTAGCTCCCACATCGATCCAATCACACTTCGAAAACCAGTGAACTGCATTGCAGCAGCCAGATGGAGGACTTCATCCTGTACAACTTTGTAAGACTGTTCGGCAGTGTGGCAGGCAGAAAGGAATGCGAACTCTGCATTCGGAGCATTAGCTTGAACAATATCAAGTAATGTCAGCCTGTAGTCCTGCCCATGGTCCTTCCTGCAGCCCTCCTTGCAGCAGGGCAGCTTGAAGAAAGAACTGAAAGGCTGTGAATCTATGTTTCCGTGGCAGACAAAGTGGACCCAAGTTGTTTTCCGAAGTGCTTGGCTAACTGCATCATGAGACGCCTTCTTGAGGAGTAATTTGGTACTCATTCCACAATTCTTGATGTTGCGGATTTCCCCTTTGGCTGATCGAAGAGAGGTATCCCCAATGACCAGAACTGTTGGCTCTACTCCTCCGTCCCCATCTATTTGCGCATTAATGAGTGCTCCGAGTGTCGGTGTATAAGACACAATGTATTTGTCCAATAAATGTTTTGTAGTGCCGTCCGTATCCTCGAATGGACCCGCGGCGTGGAAGGGAAGTGCAGATAACAAAGACGTGGGACACCACCAAATGCGCGATCCTTCGGCAATCCCAAGCTCATTTAATTTGTCGACAACTTTGGAGACAACCCTATCCCACAGCATCTTCATTGCTTCGACGAGCTTCTCATCAAATTCGGGCGAGTCAGCAGTAAATTTCACTCTCGCTAACAAGAGCCCATAGTACAACTTAGTGCTGTCGTGGTAGAACTCTCCATCTAATGGAACACAGACGACCGGCCGAGCTTCGCAAGAAAGAATAATGAGCACATCGGATCGATATTCGCTATGATTAACCACAATGATTGGTCCTTCTGAAGCCACCTGCTGGAGTGCTCTAAACGGTGTAACTGCGAGAAAGCTCTCAAACCCAGGTATTCGTCGTATCTCGTAGAGAATATCTTCCTGCTTGCTAGAGAGCTGTTTCTTCAACTTTAACCTCTCCTCAAATAATTTCCTTTCTCTATGCACGTCTGGCGTAGATAATCCAGTTCCGGATGTGTCCAAACCAGATTGTGCTGCAGAGGGTAATGTTGTGAGGTTCTCCAGCTGACGACTGACATTCCTGAACCTGTCAGCAAGCTCTCTGTTTGTTTCCTCCAGCTGATCTAGAGGTGTCCTAAAACCACGCATCTGCGACCAGAGTAAACCTCTTCCTTGTTCAAGTATTTCAATAGCCCCTTCAAGCATATTTCTGTCGACAGAATAGGCAACTGCGTCTAATGTGAGCGTGCTATAGTCGTTTTTCTGACTGAGGAAGTCGTGCTGTGCGTGAAGAGTGGGACTAACAATGAGAGCGTGTTGCAAAAGCATTATTGCCGCCTTGTAGGCTCTGGACGTGGTATGATGAGCATTACTTCGAGCATACTCAGCCCATTGTCTAGCAGATTTGAGACGCATTACCGTACTGGAGAATTCATGCTCGGTAGCACATTCCAGCAATTGTATGCATTCATCAAATTCGTCCATGTGCCCGAACTTCTTGAACTTCTTGAACAACAAAGAAGCCATGTTGTACAGTGCTGCGGAATGCTCCGGATGACCGTCAGGACAAAGTTCCAGAGCAGAACGATTAAACTCGATGGCTGCATCGTGGTCTGCAATCTGTCCATACTCTTCAAATCGAGCTTGCAGGGAAGTTGCAAGATTATCAAGGGACATATAACGATCAGGATGGCCACCAGGTCGAAGCTCCAGAGCAGCACGTTGATGCTCTATGGCCTCATCAAGGTCAGCGGTCCGTCTATGATGATTAAATCGAACTTGAAGGCAACCGCCAAGATTCCCCAGAGTCATAGGACGCTTGCGATGGCCATTCGGGCAAAATTCCAGACCAGCACGGTGGTACTCGATGGCTTCGTCAAGGTCTGCAGTCTGTCCATACTGTTCAAATCGAATTTGAAGGGAACCCGCGAGATTATTCAGAGCCGTGTGAGAGTTAGGGTGGCCGGCAGGGCAAAGTTCCAGAGCAGCGCGATGGAACTCAATGGCCTCATCAAGGTCTACGGCCTGTCCATGTTGTTTAAATCGAAATTGAAGGGAAACCGCAAGATTAATCAGAAGCATAAAGCGATCGGGATTGTCATGAGGGCAAATTTCCAAAGCATCACGAAGATGTTCAACAGCCTCATCGAGATCTGCCGTCTGACCACACTGTTTAAATCGAATTCGAAGAGAATTTGCCAAATTACTCAGAGACAAGAAACGCTCGTAATGGCCAATAGGTCGAAGCTCCAGAGCAGCGCGATGATGCTCGATAGCCTCATCAAGGTCTGCAATGTGACCGTGCTGTTCGAATCGAATAGCAAGGCAAATTGCAAGAATATTCAGAGATGAGTAACAATTGGGATGGCCACCAAGGTTGGATTCCAGAGCAGTGCGAAGATGCCCAATAGCTTCATCAAGGTCTGCAGTTTGCCCATGATGCTCAAATCGATTTCGAAGGGAATCTGCGAGATTAGTCAGCGGCACGAGACGCTTGGGATGACCATTGGGGTACATTTCCAGGGCAGTACGATAATACTCGACGGCCTCGTTAAGGTCTTTGGATCGTCCTTGTTGCTTAAATCGAGCTAGAAGGGAATTTGCAAGGCTCTCTAGAGACATGGAACGATCGGGATGACCATTCGGGTAAAGTTCCAGAGCAGCATGATGGTGCTCGATGGCCTTGTCAAGGTCTGCGATCTGTCCATGCTGTTCAAATCGAATCTTAAGGGAGTTCCCAAGGTTTCTCAAAGACACGGATCGATGAGGATGGCTATTGGGTAGACACTCCAGGGCAGCGCAATGATGCTTGATGGCCTCATCGAGATCTGCACTCTGCCTGCACCGTTCAAATCGCATTCGAAAGGCACCTCCAAGGTTGTCCAGGACAATAGAATGATTGGGATCGCCAATGGGTAGAGATTCCAAAGTAGCGTGATGATGCTCAATAGCCTCGTGAAGGTCTGCAATCTGGCCCTGATGTGAAAATAGAGTTTGAAGGGAAGCTGCAAGGTTACCCAGAGCTACAGAACGCTCGGGATGACCATTGGGACACAGATCCAGTGCAGCACGCTGATGCTTGATGATCTCATCAAGGTCTGCAGTCTGTTCACACTGGTCAAATCGAGTTCGAAGAGCAAGTGCAAGGCTCGAGAGAGACTTGGAACGGTTGGGATGGCCATTGGGGCAGACTTCTAGTGCAGCGCGATGATGCTCGATGGCCTCATCGAGGTCCCTTATCCGTTCATACCGTGCAAATCGAATTCGAAGAGAAGCTGCGAGATCTATCAGAGATGCGGAACGATCAGGATGACCGTCAGGGCAAAGTTCCAGGATAGCACGATGCAACTCAATTGTTTCCTCCAGATCTCCTATTTCGCCTAATTGGTTGTATCGCGCACGAAGCAAAATTCCGAGATTATTCAGTGACATGTGGTGACCCGCATTTCCTTTGGGACACAATCCAAGTTCAATGCGACAATACGAAATAGCTGTGTCAATTTGTCCCCATTCCTTTGATTGCTGGAACCGTTTGATGTGTTCAAAGGCCAATTTACGAAGTACATAACGGATCAAATCGAGGTCCACTGAGTACTCCATTTTGACACGTAGTTGCACCGATGGCCGGTCAAATATCGATTCTCTTGATTGACGTATTCGTTCAGAAAGAAGGGGGGAAAAGACACTGCACGGAATGTGTTACCTGAATGCCCCTTTGTTCTTGAAACCTGCCTACAGCCTCTTCTATCTTCTACACGAAGGATTCTCCGCAGATCTAAAAACCTTCTTTGTTATCAATTATTTGTGGCACAGTATGTGAAATGAAGAGACTAACCTGTAAGAAATGAGTATTCAGCTAATATTGCAGTAAATATGTCAATTCAGGGAGCAGTAACTGTACTGGAAGCTGGGAGCTTGGGTCAAGCGTTGCGTATAATCTTGGGGTTGAGGGTATACCGCGGCACGCAGTCAATTTATTTATTAAATTAATGAAAAAGCAGTGATACTAGACACGTCACGTGGCCGTGCAATGACAGCGCCGCAGTTCGACTTCTGACGCTTGCAGCACCGTATACGCCTCTTCCTGCTTCTATCACTCGCCTATGCATCTCAGGTCTTAGTCTGTAAACTTGCATTTCTTGTCTTCCCTCATACGGATAAATACTCTTGTAGCCAACCCACTCTAAGCCAGTGCCAAGAGGTCCGCAGTTCACATTGCACAATGTATAATTCAGCCTCGGCGTTGCAGTTCTCCAACAACCCATTCATTGACGATCCCACAAACTCATCAAGTCGTTTTCCAGACATTGGGACTATTGAGCGATCAGGTAGTGGATTCGCTTCTCCTGGCCCTTCAGGCTACGGTTACCCCACGAACAACCCTGGCACAGGTTTCCCGCAGCAATCTGGCTATGGAATGCAACCGCAGCCTCAACAATTTCCACAGCAGCCTCAGGTTCAACAACAGCAACAGCCATATGGAGGCTGGCAGCAACAACAAGGACCGTCAAGTCCATATGGTGGCTACGGAACACCGTCGGGCTATGGATCGGGATCGATGAGCCCTCAGATGACGGGCATGCCATATTCTAATGGTTATGGCGGTGGTTTAGCTCAACAGTATCCACAGCAGCAACAATACAGTGGATATTCTTCACCACAGTACAGCGATGCGAGTTATCCAGGTTTCGGTGGACAGCAAGGATATGCGCAGCCCCAACCTCAACCCAACGTGTCGGAATTTGATCCCTTGAGGTCCCAGGTCAGCCCCGACTTGTTATTGCGTACACATGATCTTACATGGGAAATTGCTTAGTCACAAGCTTCATCATCCAACCCGGGTCCGGGGCCCTCAGGTGAACCTCATCCTCGAGAGTACATCCGTACACACAAACAAGAACTCGAGATGTGGGATAACGTGAGCTGGAGACAAGCGCTGAACTCTTTTGACTCGCTACGTGTTGCTTGGGAGTCGCATAAGAGTCAAGTCGGGATGCGTCTTCAGCAGGGAGGGTATTATCTGGGTCCTGTTGAGGGACAAAGGCTACAAGACGTGAGTGCCGCGGGCGTTCATGGTTTTGCATATTGGATTTATTGATATCATTTCTGATATCTGAATATAGCTGCAAAAGCAGGCTGATCATAATATTGGTGTGTAAAATCTAGACTCGTCGATATAAAAGCAATCAGCACTTACTGGGACTCATACAGACACCGTTACTGCCTCGCGGGTGCAGATGCAAGAGGTTCTCTCAGGCTATCGTCACTCGGCGGACCTTGCAAGCAAGAACCGCGTGCGAGAGTCGCTTAATGCCGCTTTGACGGGTCTACCAGATTGGCCTCCGCAAAATTGGTAGCACAATTCCGTATTTGCGTATTCTCCTTCTGCCCAACTCGGTTTGTATTCTCTGTCCTCACAATAATTGTACGTCATGGTCTCGGGAATGTTGTATCCTTTGTTGTCTCTGTCGTATTCGGTCGACACTCACCAACTCAAACTCAAATTTGTTATTCTTAATACACACGGCATAGTTCGTCCCGCTTTGAGTGGTCGCCCGACATCCCCTGGATCTAATCACAAACTTCGGTGATGCAGAGTCAAATGGTGCTGACCCACGTATCACTCGACTGAAAACGCAACAGTTGTGCTCAAAACGCAAACAATCTGGTCCCCCGGCTATTCAAACAGCCCTCCGGACTATGCACAGGGTTGTGCAGATAGGAGATACAGTTGAAAATACCTTATTGTATCACATTATAATGCATAAATTGAATATTGCATAGCTTTCTGCCTAATCCCAGCTCGGGATAAGGGAATTATGCACAAAAATAGTCTATTGCATATTGCATCAAGATTTGTGAGAAAATTATGCAAAATTCTGAGCATTTTGGGAAATTAGACTGCTTACTGTTGTGATTTTTGTACCCAGAAGCCTCACATATTGTTCTCTGACATACTTCAATACAAAAAGAATGTTTCTGATTGACATTTCATTGCTTACAATGTCTTCAATGCTGCCACAAGACCAAGATAGGGCAGCAAAGATCTCTTCATGATATGTGGGGGAAAGTTATTTGCATTGACTAGCTTTTTCTATCTTTTTGTTTCTACAGATTCTGACTGTATTTCCTTGTATTACAAACTATTTCTTGAGTTTTACAGTGATATACACATTTACTGTACTTGTCATTGTCTTGGTTGTCTTTCTTGATGCTCTAAATATGTGCTTATTTTCTTGTCATAGTGTATATGTCTTCAAATAAATTGAAAAGTAATATCGAATGTTGGGTTCCTAATTAAGCAATGTTTTCGCACGGTTACCATAATGCATATTGCTCATATTGCATAGGTCTGAGGCCTCTCCCGACGTTATGCAATAAGATATTTTCAACTGTAGTCCGTGATCGACGTTCCTGAAGCCTGCCGCTATGACGCGTCTTCTGCCACTTCCGATTTCATCATATTATATTATATTCGTCTGGAGGGCTTGAGTCAGCTGCTTGCCTGCTTATATCTCAATCACTCCGCCACGAGGCTCTCGAGCTGCGTATTGGCTGCTTTACACGTACATCCTATTTCCTATTATCAAGGTTCAGGTCCATGTCTCATTTACTAGAGTGTCAGCATAGTCCTTCTTTAGCCCGCGGCGCTTCCCTCAAAGGTCGCCGTACTGACGCGTTTACGGCGGCATACAATATCTCTTCTTAACGATATTGGAGATGCTGACGGCGTGTCACTTTGTCGGCGTTGATATAAAAGCTGGTCAAGGCCAGTAGACGAAGTGCACATCAATAGCGCCTCTCAACTTTCAAGTTACTCTCGACAGTCAAGAAAACACAGTGTTAAACATGTCTCTGTCTCTAATTAAGATAACTACTCGTCAACTTGGTCGCGATGGACCCCATGTGAGCTCCGTTGGACTTGGTTGCATGGGTGAGTAACAGTTTCTGTTGAGCGGATGCCCATTGTCCTTAGCACTCACTGTGCTACCACAATGAACCAGGTATTGGAGCGTGGTACGGAAAGACCGACCAAGAAGCTGCATATAAAGCTTTGACTTATGCTGCGGACCGCGGAATGACTTTCTGGGACACGGCGGACATTTATGGAGATTGTATGCAAATGCATCTATCCTCTCATATGTACCTTCTCATTCACTAACTCTTTACCCTGTGTTTCTGCTCAGCCGAGGAGGTTATAGGCAAATGGTTCAAAGAGACAGGACGTCGCTCCGAGATTTTCCTAGCAAGCAAGTTCGGCGCCTTCGACCCCGAGACACAGCAGCTCCAAAACCCAATTTCCTCGCCATCTTACATTAAACACGCACTTGCTCGCTCTCTCTCGCGTCTCGGGACGTCCTACATTGATTTATACTATCAGCATCGCGTCGATCCTAAAGTGCCGATTGAGGTTGTCCTCGAGACACTTCGACCAGAGATTGAGAAAGGTACGATAAGGTGGGTGGGATTGAGTAATTGTAGTGCGGAGGTGATGAGGAGGGCGAGAAGGGTGCCTGGAATCGGGAACCGTGTTGTTGCGTGTCAGATGGAGTTCAGTCCGTTTGAGCTTATGCATGAGAAGGATGGGTTTGCGAAGGCGGCAGAAGAGGAGGGTGTTGTGTTCGTTGCATATAGTCCACTTGGGCGTGGATTGATTAGCGGAAGGTTCGTATATGCATCGTTCATTTCGTATATACATATATACATCTATTCATCTCTCGTACCCTGTATGCTGATTGGATTTGTTTTTTAATAGGTACCGCAGCAGAGCAGACTTTGATGAAAACGACCTGCGCCTGATCCTGCCTCGCTTCTCGGAGGAGAACTTCCCGAAGAACCTCGAACTGGTAGACAAGTTCAAAGTCGTCGCGGAAAAGTACGGTGCAACATCAAGTCAAATTGCTCTCGCTTGGATCCTCGCGGCTTACCCTAATTGTATGTCCTCCCTTCTCTTATAATCTCTTCACCCCTTACTTCTCTTCTTTCTTCTAGTCATTCCAATTCCGGGCAGCCGCTCCGCCGAACGTGTCGAAGAGAACGCTCGCGCAGCCGAGTTGGCGTCAGAAATGAAACCAGAGGACATCTCTGCCATCCGTGCACTCGTCGAAGCTGCTGACGTACGTGGCGAACGGTTGCCAGAGATGTATCTGAAAACGATTAATAATGAGTGTATCCCCTTGGAGGAGTGGAAGGGGGAGGAGAGTAGATTGTAAGGAGAGGGAAAAGAAGGTAAATGTTATGTTAGAGGAATTATATCATGCATATATGGATAAATAGGTTTTGGTGCGTGGAATTTGCCATGGTATTCAACAGTGGATAGAGGAAGTTGACGAGTCGACTGTTTGCATTTTCTATTTTCTATTTTTCTAGGCGTTTTTCACGCAACTTCAGGGACCTCTGGCTGGGTATTGCCATTACACATATAAAACTGGAGAACCAACTTCATTCATAGCAACGACTGATGTAATTGACAACGATTCATGCAACATAAGTAGTTTAGCATTTGGCTGGATCACTGCAGGTTTGATCCCCTCCTGTAACACCACCTGGACCAGATTTGGAATCACAACCCCACGCACAAGGGCCCAAGTAGGGCTAGGAGAATATGATATTAAGAATGGAAGGAGCAAGTTTAGTTATTCGTGTCAAGTGTGAGAAAAAATAATACATGGTGTGGGCCTACCTCAGGCAGTAGAGAGGCATTTGCAAGGAATGTGAATAAGCACAAAACGGTGACGGGGACTCGGAAATAGTTATAGAACATGATTGTTTTGCTAGAAGGGACCAGTAAGCTGTAGAATACTAGAATTGATCATTATTTCAGTACAAACTGAGAAAACAAGGTCAAAACCAGTTGAGAAGAGAGGGAATGAGGCAGCAAGTACAAAACCTGGTCCTTTTAAGCTTTCCTGTGGCTGTGGACACCTTATCTTTTGAATCTTTGTGTTTTTAGCAGCATCATGAGCATCTGCTAGAAGTTTGCCAGCAAACTGGTCAGCTTGTTATCAGAAGCACTGGAGATGAAGGTGATATTCTAGAGCTACAGATCCATCTTTTTTGTCCAATAATGATCAATACCATTAATATGAGATATCTGTATTGTCACATTGTCCCAGAAGTTGTTCATCTCAACACAGTCTAGATGTCATCATATGAGTGTTCCTGATGAAAGCCTATGTTACTTGTTTTACATTGTAAAGACAGAAAGATACACACTTTTACACTTATTTGTACAACCTCTCTAGGTAAGAGATGTATACACCTATTTGAGTGGTATTACTTTACACAAGGAATGAGTGAGCAGCATGGAGCAGAGTGTTGTCAATCATTGACAAGGCACAAACAATGTGCTAGAAGCTATAGTAGATGCTTCATATTATACACCTTTAATACTTCATTAGCTAGATAGGAACAAAGTCCTGAAAGTTATAAATGGCTACTTATAGTATCAGTATGTTGTTGACTATAAAAGGCTCTGAAACAAGGTGTTCTGATCACAGAGGGCTGTTCAGTGATGTAGATGGAAGGCAAACCATATGTATGGAACAGATTAATAATTGATTACTTTGTTCTACAGCCTATTAGTGGACTTTTGAAAGCCACAAATAATGGCTTATACCTTCCATCATTCGACGACCCATTAATTAGATGAGAACAAAGCAATGTGAAGCATGGATATGGATGCTTATACCTTTGATGCTTCTTCAAGGCAGAAAGAAGCAAAGTGTGGATACTACAGAGTTCTGTTCAGTGATGTAAACACTAAACAGGACAGATGATCACCTAGATCATAGACTTGTTAACTTACATATGATAGATAGATAGTTGAGAAAGCAGCCTCGGGTGCAAAATATATGTAGTCAGAAACGTCTTAACGCGACCATGGCAGGAACCAGACTAATAAAAGCGCGTTCATTGTTGATCTGCAGATCATTCATCCAAACTTGTCCTGATTGCCGATCACAGCCAAAAATACTCACAAAAAAAATCTCCAAAAAAAATTTCAATTATTAATGGAGAATCCAGATCAAGGCTTTATCGAACTCTATAATATAGTTTCCCAGCTCGATACAGTATAATAATTACACGCTTCATTCGTATAAATCGTGAGTGGGGAGGGACAAAATAGAAACAAAGAAGAAAAGAAAAGAAACAAAGAAACAAAGAAACAAAGAAACAAAGAAACAAAGAAACAAAGAAACAAAGAAACAAAGAAACAAAGACAAAATTAACAGAAGGGAGAAAAAGAGGAAGAGGGAAAAGGTATGAGGGGTTCTTTTTGGTGGATCCGATATAAGAAGTCATCATCAAACGTAACACGAAACCCGGCATGTAAGGAGACAGGTAACGACGTAGTAACGGAGGAGTGAGGCGAGGAAGGCGGGTCTACATTACATTTCACCTCCGCCTCATCTTTGGTGCTGGGACAAGACCGAGTAACCCAAAGACAAGAGCGTATAGACCGGATGCTGATTGGTGTTATGGAGTGGACAAGGGACAAGAGCAATGCAGAATCAGAGCGAGTTGTCGGACCATACGGAAAAATAAGTGTATGCGACGCGAGTCAGTCATGAAGCAAGTCTGAGATTAAGGTAGAGAAACGACGTACAAGCCACTACGCCTTTTAGGAAACCCAGATCGGTCCAATGGCTTAGTGTATAGGACAGCAGGGGCCACCCTAAGGCCATCAAAGCTGTGAGCGTCTATAATACCATGGAACCGAAGAACAAACGAACATGAAGTCAGCCGACCGGGTAAACGAGAGATAATTTCAAGGAAACTTGTACGTACGGGTACGACAAACGAGAGTTCACCCGACTGTCGCCATTGGGAGTACTATACACATAAGTGTAGTCAGTATACTGATATAGATATGCTGCTCGGTAATAGAAAGATTGCGGGGGCGGGGGAAGGGTAGTGTGGGAAGAACAGATGGAGCTTCCATACGTACGTTTGGTTGGGCACCTTTAAGCCATGGGACAAGCAAGATGTAAAGAAATAATCCGACGGTTAAGAGTCCGCAGACAAGAGTCGTTCGTGCGTAAACTCTAGATGTGATCATCAAAGAACACCCAATCGATCAGCTATAAGATCCGAAACTAGTGGAGACAAAAGAAGCTGACCGGGCCCAACCTGTTTCCTCCTCGACAAGCTGCCAGAACCGGGCGAGGGTTCCAAGAAGGTAAGTTACAGCCCCGCCGGGGAGGACGAACTTGAGTTGCTTGAGAGTGTGTCGTGAGAGATTGAGAAAAGCTTTGCTTGATGTGATTCGTTGTGGGCTGGATGACGATGATGATGGAGTAGACGAGGACATGGCTGGCAAGACGGGGATGTAATCAAGAAAAAGAAATGGCGCAAGAGTTAAGATATATGTATTTCAAGAAATAGGCTGAAATGACGTTGGGGCGTCGATGGGTGACACCCTTGGGGAACGAGGGTGTGCTGTAGCACTAGTGTCAGTAGTGGGCCTACAATTTGGTGCGGACACGTCCACAATCACATGCTTCTGCTTTGGTTCCGGGCGCACGTGCTCGCTTGTTCGCCCACCAAAGATGAATTCGGCATTTGAATATCCATGATGCATCACCCCTCGGCGATTGAGTGCTGCCCGAGCTACAGCTGACGGATACTTCATACTGCCGAGCGCGAAGATATAAAGCCTGACCCAACATCAAACTGTCTTCATTTCCCCACCATGGCCTCCCAAAATCATACTCAATACGTGCTCGCTGAACGTCCGAAGGAACATGTCCTCGCAACGACGTTCAGGAAAGAGACTGTGCCGACACCACAGCCAGGAGAAAAGCAAGTCCTCGTCAAGGTTAACTATTTGAGTATGGAGCCTGCGATGAGAGGGTGGTTGAGTTCGTATTCCTAATTCATGTCTGAACTCGCGTTATAGGAGCTCATTGTGTCAAATAGATGACAGGCGTAGTTATATTCCTCCAGGTGAATTTGCGTTGTGCTTGATGTTGCGAATTTTATGAGTCTGACGTGCTATTCAAAATTTAGTTCAAATTGGTGAAGTCATGCGTGCTGGTGGGTTAGGAACTGTCGTTGCTGCTGGACCCAATTCAAAATTCAAGACCGGGGATATTGTCACTGGTCTCCTCGGTATGCTACTCACATTGCCTCCCGTATTAAAATCAGCGTTAATTGTTGGCTAAGGCTGGACCGAGTTCGCATTGCTTGATGACAAGGGCTTGAGTACGATCGAGTATGTCTCATCCCAGTGCACATGTGGATCATGATTAACATCTTCTCATCGAACTAGTGTACCACCAAGAGCGGAGCTATTGGATTTCCTTGGCATTCTCGGGACGACAGGTATGTCTAGTGGAGCAAACGCTTTCAACTCTTTTTGACGCATCTTCTAGGTCTAACTGCGTATTTCGTATGTCATATCCAATTGTCAAATAAACCATGTCCAATTCCATCATCCATTCTATCCATCCATAGGGTCTCCTCGACGTCGGCCAAATCAAACCTGGCGAAACCCTCGTCGTCTCAGGAGCAGCAGGCGCCGTCGGCTCCATCGTTTGTCAAATCGGTAAAATCAAAGGCGCCAAAGTCGTCGGCATCGCAGGTGGTGACGACAAATGCACTTGGCTCAAGAATGAAATTGGTATCGACGTTGCGTTGAATTACAAAAGCGAGACGTTCCATGAAGAGTTTAAGAAGGATGTGGGGTATTTTGATGTGTATTTTGATAATGTTGGAGGAGAGATTTTGAATTTTTTGTTGACGAGGATGAATAAGAAGGCTAGGATTGCGCTTTGTGGTGAGTTGACTTTGCTGTGGGGCGGTAGTGGAGGAATTGATGCTGATGATTCTCTTCCGAGATTTCTAGGTGCTATTTCTGATTATAGTATGTTTGCATCCGATTTGACAGGAAAAGGAGCCATCTGAACCGATCTTTCAGACAAACCCGTTCCTGATGGCTTAACAAGCTACCTAAACCTCATCTCCATGTCTGCCAAGATGGAAGGTTTCATTGTGTATGTTTCTTCATTCCCTTATCATCCATCCTCTTTACCCATTGAGACATCGCTTATATCGTACTTACATCTTGTTGTACCTCAGTCTGAATTATAAAGATCAATGGCCCGCAGGAGTCGCCGAACTAGCAAACTGGATCGCAGATGGCAAGCTCAAACGTCGATTTACAATCGTACATGGACTTGAGAAAGCATACGATGCGATGAATATGCTGTTCACTGGTGGAAACACCGGAAAATTGCACGTTTTTCGGTATTTTCGTATAGTACTCTGGATGATTATTGACTTGTTCTTCCTTTTTCCTATGTGTATAGGATTGTGCAGGTAGCACAGCACGAGCAGAGCAGACTCTGAAACTCACATGTACAACTGGAACCTGGTTCCGATTCCGATAAACAAAAGGATCTTCTTGTATTCATAAGGCATCACAACATTAACAAATACACATTTAACATTCGACCAGGACCAAGGAAAGAAGGATATCAACAGAGAACTGCAAGATAGTGCAGAGCTTCAAGCATTGTGCACAGCATACCCCTTATCTGCCTCGTGCGAGGAACCCGAATCCGAGAGGGCTTGATTGGCACCAGCGCGAACGCCATGCGCGTTGTCCCTGTGCTCTTCGTGTGCCTTGTGGCCAAACAAGAAATCTCTCTGTGCAGGGGGAAGAACTAGGACAAGAAAGACAAAACAGAAATGAATCAGCAAGAGACACCCAGGTAACACAAGACCTTCCCAGCCAAAAGAGGACTCACCCCGACTAGAATCATGGAAGAATATCTCATAAAACAAAGCAGCTAATAACATAGCAGGGATATTCGTAAGTGCCGCAATAGCAGCATAATTCCCTCCCGAAGCGTCCTTTCCCCAGAGAGTTAGAGCTGCGAGACGTCCGCCGACGTCTCGCGCTGAATTTGCAGCGAGTGCGTTGGGAGCGAAGCCCCAGATGACGACGGCATAGGCGAGGCCGACTGTGTAGGGTACAAGATGGGGTGGGCAGAAGAAGTTGGAGGGGTCGATGCAGCCCCAGATTGCTAGGCCTAGGAAGAAGTCCTATAAAACAAAAAATGTAAGTGTATAAGTGTTATGAGGAATGAGACGGGTGGCATTGGGAGGGAGAGATGGAAGATGGAAGATGAAGAACCATGCTTACAGCGAAGAATTCGTTTGCCCATACGACTCCAAGATTCGCATTAGGCAACGTGTATAGACCGATGATCCCCGCTGGCCCGTTTGGCGTGAACTGAATCGCATCGAGCTTGCCCGCTGCGGCTAATAATTCTTCGACTTGCTGGAATTAACGCATGTTCAGAGAGGTCAGAACTGTGGATGCTCCGATTGGAATGCGGGACTACGCACAAGGATATTTGTCCGCCATTGCAAGTATACAATAAGACACGCGACGTAGGCACCGAGGATCTGAGAGATGATGTACCTGCACAAGGGACAGAAAAGCAACAGGAAAAGGAAAATTAATTTCCAGTCAACAGTCATTAATCATTAATCAGTGACATGTGCAAAGAAGAAAAGGAGAAAAGACGCACTGAGGTGCTTTCTTCCACGGGAATCTCTTGAACACACAAAAGGCAATGGTAACGCATGGATTTAGATGGCCGCCCGACGTCGACGCGCAGATGGTCAGGGCGAGCACGATGCCCACCGCGTACGCGATACCAACTTGCAGGAGCGCTGATCAATTGAATTTAGGAATGGGAATTTCAATACACATAATCAGTTTTATCCACGTTGTTCCTGAGTTGATTGATTTGATTGGGGAGGGAGACTTACATCCTAAGAATGGTTGTTCGGCGAGGGTCCCGACGACCATAGAAGCTGTTGACCCGACACCTGCGATAGTTTAAATAAGCAATTGACGTGTGGCTCGGAGGATGAAAAGTTTAAATCACCGGCGTAGCAATATATGAAGACGCCCATCTGTAATAATAGCCATGGTGTGGAGTGTAATGAATAAGTGGATTTCGTTTTATTTTGACCAATAGAAAGAGTTTTTTTGAAGCAAAAGTACTTACGAACTCAGCCATGCATTCTACTAACCAGTGAGCACGTCTATGTCGTTGTCTCTCCCATGCTTTGAGAGCTGCTGGACGCGGGACGACATCGGCGATGTGGATGAATTTGGGCGGTTCGGCGTGCATTGTCGTCCACAAAGGGAGAGGAAGGCGAGGAAGGTAATAGAGAAGGTAGGGAAGGGGAAGAGCAAGGACGAGGGGCCTGAAACTCAAACGATGGATACCATGCACTACTTCGCTCTTTTATATACAGTTACAGCATGGTATGAAAGGGTTAGATCTACTGTAATCTTTTAAAGGCAGAAAAGCATATTGATGGTGGAAGCTCCGGAAAGAACGACCAACACACGCGCGCGTTCTGGCTCGCCGAGATTAGCTCTGATACCACGAGCTGGGAGAGGATTGGGTCCGGACTCTATTAAGTCTGGAGCGAGAGAAGGTCAGGGCAGAGTATCGGCAATGTCAGCCGTCCGACGTTTGGGTGTTTGCAGCTATGAAAAAAAGGTCAAATCAAATGGTGGTTTGATGGTTTTGGAGGGAGAGGAGGGATTGTACTAGATCCCGAGCGCTCGGGATATGGAGAAAGTCCCATGGTACAGAGTTTGTGTGCCTGTTCAGTATAGTGTATAGAGTCAAGGTATTACTTCTGTGCATGGATGCAATTCCCTTTAAAGGCACAAGTTTCAGCGGCGTTGGCCTTCAATGTGTGCGGCGTTTATGATTGAATTGAACCTGTTCGGTAAAGAGAGTTGACGAATAGCCTGTTTGCTAATCACGTTCATCATGAATGGAATTGAAAGGATATCACAGGAGGAGTTGAAGTGTGAGTTTATGTCGGTCATGACATATTTGTGTTGAGGAATTCACAGAGAGGTCATGAGGTGTGGTACATCATATGGATTTTGGACCAAATTTGAAGCGTTGGCCCGCCCGCCGGGTCGCTTACCCGCGAATTATTTGTCTGGCTACTTTCAATTATACTCCACACACACATCGAATGCAATGCGCGAGGCGTCATGCGCCTCGACTCCTGTCATACACTCGCTGTGGATTTGCATGCGAAGTGTATAAAGGGAGGATATCTTTATCCACCCACGTTTTCACGTTTCACGTTTTTCGCCTTGAGCCTTCTATCTCGGATCGAACGACGGTAGTTGATTACAGGCAGATTTCCTTATGGCGCTCGTCTATTTGAACCCTCGTGTCTCCTTCTCTCGTGGGACTTCTCGGCCTTCTGACTATTAATCCTCTTGATTGCCCTATATAAGTAAGTGCCCGTCTTTCCTAAGGACTGCTCTTTGCTTGGCCTGTGGACAATGCTTCCGTTTCTATGCAGCATGCAATTTGATCGCTTGTGGCTTGCTGGTAAGCTGCGTCCGAGACGGATGAATACGTTTCAGTGATCCGAATAACTGTGTACTTGCTTGGATACTCGTCCGGAGAAGACCTGGTTATCTCCAGGTGCTTGGCTAACAGGGTCTTTAATTAGTTCTGATAAATCCCTCTGTGCATCCGCGAATCATCCAACTGGTCCACTCGCATAGAAGTCCACCGATACTGCACTAATAGGCTGATACTTTCGGACCGATAAAGTCCAATGAAATCTTCATGCAGCCGTGATCCTGGTATGAATCCCCTAACGGACCTGTCCTAGTCCGCTGAGTTCTGTTTGATTCGAACGACGATGTATCAAGTACTATCAACCTTCCAAAGTTCCCAACCAGCAAGAGGGCCTCGCGACTCACCCCATTTGGGAGGGCAATGAGTACGCCACTAGCACCAGATTCGGGTTGTTACTCAGATTCAATATCCTGTGTTACGTATGAGTCTATGACTTCACCGTGGGGAGCGCCAATCAGGTTTGGGATTCGGAACTAGGATGCTGTGCTCCGCGTCGCTGTTTGTTCGTGGCGGCTATTACTTTGTTGAACTAGTGTTGAAGGATCGGAGGGTAGAAAGGGTTGTGTTGTCCGTGATGTTATATCGGTAATCTTATGGAGGCGAAGAAGTCTTTTCTTTTCAGGCTGTACATGCGGAAGTCGGGATTATGCCTTTTTTTCTACTGGTGAAAGTGCTGGAATCTTTACGAACAGATAACGAAATCGTCAAGACACCAGGTTTGACTTCTACCTGTATTTGTCTTTATCACCTTAAGTTGATCGATTGACTAGAGCAGTCAGTGTGTTTGTGCAATGTGGGATAATACACGCGTGCTTTCATTAACGGTACCGCGTTGTTAGCACGTTTGTTGAGGACTAGACTGCGGTTTCTCAACTTTATCCGTGTATTCGGATGAACCCGGGTCATTAAGAGCTGCTCTGCCCAGTGTCTCTGTAAACTACAGTACTGTCACCAATAGGACGATTTGGGATGGTCTGTGCGTAGGATTCACATCCATAGCGCACGAGCACCACATGAGCATAGTATTATTAGAATAGCTCAGTTCTACCGGATATAGCAGCTAGATATAGAGCAATGCAATGAGCTATACAGATAAATTATGTGATAGAAGAGGATGGATGAAGCGGTGAATCAGCAGTGAATCAGTGGCTTATTTGTATCTATTTACGTTGTTACCGAAGATGGTATGCCCATCAGGCGTTTGAGAGCTCTCAACTTCGAACGTCGCCAACGTTGCCGCCGTTGTCCCCACCACTCTCCCGCTGCCCCGACAGCGCGCAAAGCCTGTGTTGCTTCACCCTCTTACACTTTTCACTTGCTGGTGCACATCCACGAACTTTGTTTCCCGCGCAACCTGCCCCGGCCAGTCCATTTCTGTAAGTACTTCCGTCCAGCCAAACCCGTGCCAATCGACTAACGAGATCCTTCACCCCGTGTCCGTCTCTCCCGACGACGAGGACAGCTTTCTGTCCATTTTTTTTCTGCTTTTCGTTGGGCTCTAGTTACTCCTTGTACGCACGACCACTATACGTGCACACGTAGTCTTTGCACGTACCCCACGCCCCATTATCTCTGCATTTCTTTTGCTTTCGACACATTTGTGTTCGTCAAGTTGACTTGACATGGCGACGGTTCGTCCTACAAAGAGTACTCCACTCAAGAAGGGCCCGGATTCAAACCAAGGAAGCCCTGCGCCTGGAAGGTAAGTCGTCCACGGTGGCTTGGAAACTGGGTGTTACATGACAGATCATCCTCTCCGTATCGTCTATCCACAGGCGTACACCGGCGTGGTCTAACCGCGCCTCTCCGTCTCCTGGTCCAGCATTTAATGCGAATGCGCGTGGGACAGCGAACGGATTCCCGCCCCTCGGTGGCCAGACGAATGGCAAGCCGACTACGAACCCTCCGAACGCTTGGGGCTCCACTGAGGATAAGCAGCAACTGTTAGCAGGCTTAGCAGGAAGCATTGTCAGTGTCTTACTTTTATCCACCATTCCAGTCATTCCCAGCACTGCAAGCTTGTATTCTGACACTTTCGGGTTGCTGTCGTTCATGTCCAATAGAATCAAACTATTACGGTTGCGCTACGCACGAATACACGCTATGAGGGTATTTTAACATTTGTCTCCCCATCCGCCTCCGATGACGCTAGTACGTGTTTCGCTGATTCATTATCTGTATTGCGAGTCGAGATTCTGACCATATTCCTATGTCTATCTGACATGTCTACTTCACACCCCACCGCTTTGAATCGCACCGGATTTTGTACCGGGTCTGGGAAAAATCGTTCAGGCCTCACACTTAAGAACGCTAAGGATCTCTCTACGCCTAATGCTCCTCCAAAGGATACTGTAAAGATACCGGCCTCAAACGTCCTATCTTTCTCACCTGGGTCATCCGGTACTGGTACAATGTCTAAGGTCCAGGATTGTGAGTAATCTTCCATTTCTTTTCGTTGCCTTCGGCCTATCTGTTGGGGAGTGAAGACTGGAGAAGAATGGGCAGACGTCTTGAGTGCGGAGGTGGACAGTGGTCGTGTCAAAAGTCGAGAAGATGCCCGATCAATTCAGATTAGACGTTAGAGTAGTGTTGAATCTCGGCGCAAGTGGACACATGCGCATATTGCGCAGCGCGATTCTCATATCAATCGGTCCTTCTCTAACCATTGAGTACTTGCTAACATGAACTGCTTTACGTCAGCTTTCCGAACAGATGCCGAGATTTCGCGTATAGGATCAGCGAAACGCGAACGAGAGCTCCAAGCTTGGCAACCTGATGCAGAAGACGCTTCTGCAACTCCTGCTGGAAATGGCCACGAGAGCTCACGTGGTGACGATGTTACTTTTGGACCGGGCGCGACTTCCGGTGCTCAATGGGATCAGTTTGCTGCTAATGAACGACTATTTGGTGTTCGCACGCAATTTAACGAGGATGTGTATACGACACCACTTGATCGAACCGCGAAGGACTACAAGGAAAAGGAACGCCTCGCAGAACGAATTGCAGCCGAGATTCAAGGCGTGAGTTGCCACTGCTTTTCACTGTCGGACTTGAAATGTATCGGTATTCGCAGAGCGTGACAAATAACCCTCACTTGGCTGAGGAGCGTGGAATATCAGTCGATGATAGTGGCGTTAATGAGGAAGACAAGTAGGTCGTGGTCATTTCGTAATCCATGGTGGTATTCATCAAAGATGTAGATATGGAGCTGTGGTTCGAGGAGCCAACGCATATGTTCCTCCTGGTGCTCGTCGACAGGCGACTGGCAGTGATACATCGGCGCCTCCTTCCGCTAAAGGTCCTGATAAGGATAAAGACAAGGATAATCAGACAAAGCCGGATGCCTCTGTACCCAAGGTATCCGTGAACGCTCCCGATGGTTCAGAGAAGGTACTCCCTCGGCCGACCGCTAGCCCATCTAACAACACCGCTACAAAGGTACATGTTATCCCATAATCAGAGACGCATAATGATCAACTTTCTTTGATTACCTCTTAATAGCAGCCTGCTGATGCACTCCCTGCTTTCCGTGACTTCGTTACGAACGAAAAGCAGAGGCTCACTCAGAAGAAGCAGGCACTGGTGAAGAACGAGATGGAGAAGCGTGTGGCAGAACTCGTCAAGTTCAGCCAGAACTTCAAGGTGCGTTCCATCTCAGAAGCGATGTTGATTGACCTAGCAATAAATTGACATCTTGGAAACTCAGCTGAACAAGCCCATTCCCGACGACCTTGTCCCAATTCTCGCGAAGGATGAAGACAAGCAACGTCAGATTCGCGAGAAATCTACTCAGGATGCGCAGTCGACAAAAGCTCGTGCTATTGGTGTTTCTGCGTCCGTGTTGACTACCAGTACGCAACAGAAGGTCTCTGCAGGAACTCCATCGAAGCCCATTGAACCCACGCGCAAGCCTCTGATCCAGCCCATGTCTGCCACGAAACCGGATCGCGTGCCTGCCAGCAAAAGTTCCAATGTCTTACAAGGCAATGCTGCTGCGACTTCGAGTGCTCCGGCTTCCAAGTCTAACGAACCTAATGCGAAATTAGAGTCTTCCAAGACTATGCCTAGAATTAGCATGGTTATCCAGCCTATTCCACCGTTCCGTGGTCCGAAGAAACAAGGATCAGGTGATGGAAAGACGACACCGTCTAGTGGCCCTTCACAGCCTTTGAGTCCGACTTCTCAACAGCGACTCAATGTTAATGCGACCTCCTTCAGGCCCAATCCAAAGGCTGCCGCCTTTACTCCCGTGAGTCAATATACGCATTTTGCATATACGTTGAAATAACGTTTGGTCCTCGTCCTAGACGGGCTCGACTAGTCCACAGGTTCAGGCACAGACCATCTCTCCGAAGCCGAACGTATGTAGTTTTCTACCACGTCTATATTATACAACTAGACTTAGGCCCAATATCCATAGGCCGCAAGTACGCCGGCAACGCCTAACCTATTCTTCGGCACGCAAGTTATCAAAAAGACACCGCCTGTCAACATCAAGGATGATTTCAACCCATTCAAGTCGGGTAAAGTTCAAGAACCTAAGACTACCAGTAAGCTCATCTTGCTAGTCTCTTCATCGTGGCTCACACCGGTGCAGCCCCGAACTGGCCGTACAGTGGCAAGCGATACATGCAGTTGTTCCCTCCGCCACCCACTGTGGCAGCTCCACCTCCACAGGCATCACCACACATGGCTCCTCATGGACCACCGCCTCCCCCACCACCCTCGTACGACGAAGATGCCGCGGCACAGGCGCAGGCTGCTGCAGCGAGCCGAGGATATGCTGTATATGCATATGCACCTTACTACCCTGGCCAAGTACGGTGTTTATTTCTTAGCTTCTTCACGTCTTTGACATTTGACGCCAGCCTCCGCAGCCCATGATGCCTGGAATGGCTGGTGTACCGCCTGGCGCATTCATACCCTCGCCATACATGCAACCTATGCCATACCCACCGAACATGCATCCCCCTAATGGACAACGTATGTGGACTTACTTTCTGAGAGTTGCATTCCCTTATCTCATCCCGATAAATAGCCATGTACGCCCCACCGCCAATGGGACAAATGCCTCGTGAGTATGAATAAATGTAATTCCGTGACCATGAGTTAACATGCCTTCCAGCGCCGCAACAATACATGCCTCCTCCGCCACCGCCGCCGGGTGCATACCCGCCTCCGAACAGTGGTGGTCCACGCCCTTCAATGCCACCTACGCCCATACCTGCGCACGCGCATCCATATTATCACCAGAGCCCACAACGTATGGTATCTTTTGATGCATACAGTCCGAAGATGTTTACGATAAACACAGTGCAACATGCCATGCCCTACCCCATGATGATGCCCCCACCGGCGCCGAATGGACCTCCGCATCATTATGAGGGTGGTCCGCCACCCCCAGTGCCAATGGGTGGTGTAGGCCATGCATGATAATTAATTGGCACCACTGCGTTTTTTTCTTTCTTTTTTTGTAGCTTTCGCTTGGAGCGTTCGTTCCACGTTTCCACGTCGGTGAGGAGGGGAGATATTGATTGCTAGTGGTTGCTAGTGGTTCATATGCTTTGCTTTGTTGCACCTTGCAAAATTTCGTAGTTCTTTTGTTCATAGCCTCTTTGTTCAGACACTGTGGAACAGAACTTGCAACGTCAATCAGCAGACAAGCTTATGTTCCCGTGCATGGTGTTGTTTGAAGGGGCAGGAACTCATCACATCGCTTTCTTCACTGCAGGTAGGAGGGTCGGGTGAAGAAATAACTAGCAGAAATACAATAAACATTACAAAGGGATAAAAAGATGCAAAACACGCGACATGGTTCTACGCAATTCCATGACTTCGACTAGCTAACCGTAGTCCCTCCTGGACAGCTACAGCCTCTTCAACCCAAGGAAGCCTGAAGAACTCGCTGCGCTTAAGTTCCTCCTCGCGTACAGTAAGACCCTCGCTAGGTCCAGCGGCGAGCACCGATTCTAAATCGCGTGACTGGGATGCAAGCCATTTGTTGATAAAGTCGGCGGGATCATCTGCGAAAGCTTCAAGGAATGTGCGCTTGAGTTGTGAATTCTGAATTTGTTGGGCGAGGAGTGCGGTTTCTTCGTCATTCTTGGCGATGTCCCGCGCGGTCTCGCTGCTCATGTTGACTATTACTTGGTTCTGGCGACTTTTTAGAGATGTATCTTCGACTTTGACTTCGATGTCGAATGCTTGAGGTGTGGTCGGGGGTGGTTCGTTTGGTTTGATGTGATAGAAGAGGACGATTGGGTCTGGGGGTTGGAAGTAGTGGTTTACGAGTTCAGGGAGTTGTTGGAATGATACATTTTCCGTGTGGAAGAGCTGGGCCGGATATCAGATATCATAAGTCCCAACAATCCACGAATAGAAAATAAAAACAATTTTCGAGCAACGTACCGCCTTCAGCCTATTATCCAACCTAATTACCCGTCGGTCCACCTTATCTTGCAGGTTGTTGAGCTTGATGTAGTTCCATAGTGCGGTGACGATTCCGACTCGGCTGTCTTCTTTTATGTCGAGGAGTGCGCCTAGCTCTGGGTGGACTTTGAATTGATCGGGGTAGTGTTCGATGTACATCATTACGCGGACTTTTGTTGGTTGGTCGCCTGTTCGGCGGACTGTGAAGCCGTCTACGGGTGGTGGACCTGCTTGAGGGAGGGCTTGTGGACGTCGCCACTTCATCATAACAAAAAACTTAAGTCGCTGACTTTGTGGGAAGTAGATTTTGTTACGTACCTCGACAGTGTTGCCATCAGGATATACATTTGTGTCACGTTCCAGGTCGACGACGAGGTGTTTGACAAAGTTAGAGAGGTGTTTCTGCGTAGCTTTGTCTCTTGAACGACCCGACGGTTCCAGTAGCCTGCCTTCGATCTTGAACGCCCATGAGGGTATGCCTTGCCCCGCTTCAAAGTTTGGCATTTCTCCGGGCTGATTTCCCGCGAGCTGCCATGCTTGATCTGAGACTGTGTGGCTGAGGAATATTCGTAGAGTTCGGGTTGTCTGGTGAAACGAAGAAACGAAGCCGAGTTAGGAAAGACAAAAACAAAACAAATTGTTGTGCCGAGGGATGCTCACTGCAGACTGTTTTCCTAGAGCATCCTGTATCTCAGCCCGCTTGCGAGACATGCTCCAGTCTAGCTTCCTCTCCATGTCGAGAAGTTGTTGATAGAACTTCGAGTCCGTGAATTCGCCAGAGTGCAGGACTGAGGAAGGTAGCGCCTTGTCTGTGAACTTGCGCTTTCTAGATTTCGACAAGATGTGGTCAGAACAGGTTCTCATTCATTTGTTGTAACGAATAGCGTACTTTACTGCCTTCGGGGCTTCCATGGTTGCAGACTTGGGATTTGACAAGAATCACAAGATGATGGCCAGTGCTTGCTTGTGTTGGTGGTTTTGACGCGTCGCGCGGTTGTGACAATTTATTACCGTATATAGAAGTAGTCGATCAGCGGAGTTCAAAAGACATGATCAGTGTGGACGAAGACTCCTTCAGAAGACCATATCTTCATCACTAGGTCGTTATTCGTCTTATTAAGAATCAAGCATTCAATCCGTTGCATGAGCTGACTTCCATCTTCGTCACCGAGCAACGCTCTGTGGCCTCAAAACCTAGCTGAGCCATCATATGTGGCTTTTGGCACTTGTTCTTACCTGATTGATGAAGCATCGGGATCATATACAGCTATCAATGACTGACAATATCCTGCTCTGTACTGCTTACTCACTCCTAACTTAGAGCCACACTTCTCAAAATAGTCTCTCACCTAGAGGAGTTATACAAACAAGTGTCAAAGTATGTATTTTCCTGTTGTAATACTGGCTTGATTCTGTTCTTTTCATGTACGAGTGTCATTGCACTGCAAAATAATGCAGACTTTCATCGGGAACAACCTGCTAATGAGGTAAAAGTTCGATCTATTCTATCACAGAGATGGTGTGAACAACTTATAGAACAATTCTCCGATACGGGCTTCTTATATTAATGCTGTTCATAGTTATTTGATCAATCAGTGGGTTGTCACCTTGCCTTTCTGCACATTTGTCTCCAGTGTCTCTAATAATAACATGATCAGTTCGTTGGCAAGCTTCTAACAGATGCTGCTGAAACGCAAAGATTGGGAAGGCAAAGCATCACGGCCACAGCAACTGTTATAAAGGCAGAGTCTTCCACTTTCCACCTCATCTTCTTAATTCTTAACTGGAGTTGACCTCCTTTTCTTAGTTCGTATTGAGTTGACAATTACTTTCAGAATTGTATTAATTTATATTCTCCTCTGGCAGGCAATCATGTTTCGCCGTAGTCTTGCCATCATTGCCTTCTGTCTGTTTACGTTCCTTACAAATGCCTCTCCGCTGCCTCAGGTAGGTTCATGTTACACAGTACTTCCGCACTCATATGACAAATGTTTGATATCACACCTTTACGTCCAATTAGTCACTTCCCCCTCTTCGAGATCATATAGGTGGACCCGACCGGTTTCCACCTGGTGCAGGCGGTGTTCCGGGTGGAAGTGAGACCTGTGGTGAATCAGTTATATGCTAGTTTCCACGCTGTATGCGTTGTTGTAAATAACGCTGGTCATTGCTATGAATGAAGCTGGTTCTTCAGTCAAACATATTGTATCGATTAATCGTGTGAAAAGCCCAAAAGTTTTGGTGGGAAGAAAAGGTGAGGACAGATAGGATACAAGATGTCCGAGTGGGATTTCTGACACGCATACTCCCCATTCTGCGCCAACAAATCCTGTTAAATACGAAAAATGAACGAAGAATACTAATGGTACGTTCTCTAAATCCCGGGCAATACAACAACATGATTTAGGGTATGAGCAAAGGAAAGAGAAGGAATAAACGGAATCATCTTGAACTGGACAAAACAGATCGCTCCTCTTTCTTCAGAAGTCCTCTCTAGGCATTCGAACTTCTGTTACAGTTGAGGACGAATACTCCCTTTCAGTAAACCACGCCTTATCTACTATGCTGTTATTTGTCTTATTACATGCCGGATTTTGTGTTCCCTTTGGTGATGATGGCTTCATGTTACACAATTACATAGTACCCCACCACAAACAACTTCTTGAGTCTTCTTCATTCTTTTATTCATTCCGCCTCCCATCTTTTCTTCCGTTATTTTCATATCCTTATTTCTTTTTCCTTGTTCCCACGAGTCCCACCCATTTATTATGAATGAAGTGTGTAATTGTTATGATGTGACGAGCTGGGAAACTATTATATACATGTCGATGAATTTCTGTAGTGGCCCGGGTGCCTGTAGTCGTTTTCGAGAATTTTTGGGCGCCAAGCGTGATCGGCGATCAGGTCAGGGATGTATGATTTGCTGATCGGCAATGGACCACTGGGGCCATCACCAAAACGTGCAGAGTCTGACAAGGCAATATATTTACATGTAGACTTTATAAGCGAATATAAGGATCCACAATATGTAAAAAATATATGTCTTAGCAGTAAATTCCAATACATTTTCGTGTTCGATTTGGTGATGTGGACACGCACTTACTGCTGTATCTATTACGCCCATTACCGAGTCTATGCTCTAACTGCGATCTTTTCCAACTTATATCACAACAAAATGTTCTGTGGCTTCAACATTCTGCTTTTTTCTTACTTGATGAAGTGTTTGCCGTTGCAGGCACTGCAATGCAATGGTACTGCTGCTGCTGCGTAGATTCTCATCAAGACCAACTGTCTGATGAAGTGCAATGTTCCATCTAAACTATGTTGAGATGAACAACTCACAGAACAATGCAACACTACAGCCTCCTTATACTCACACTGTTGATCATTATTTAACAAAACAGAAAGATAGATCAGTAGGCCACCACACTGTAAGCATCATAATCTCTGGAGCTTTTAACCACAATCAGTCTGTTTGTTAGTGAACTTGTTGAGAGGGAAAACTTAAGGGGGGCACACATAGACAAGGGGTGAGGTGACAATTGACTGCTCAGTGTCTCTTGTCCTTATATTGTATGTATTCTAACTGAGACATTATGAAGTCATTGTCTTGTGGTTTGTCTGTTAATGAACTAATCATCTCATAATACTCCCCTTCAAACTCTTACTAGTCTGAGTAAACTGGTAAGATGCTTGACTTGTAGTACATGTAGTGCTTTAGTTAATATATCTGCTTGTTGATTGTTTGTCTGTATGTATTTTGCATTTATGTACTCTAACTCAATGTAGTATTTAATAAAATCTTTCTTATGATCTAAATGCTTTGTTTGTTCCAAATATTTGAGTTCATCCAATGTAACTGTTTGTATAACAGTATTGTTATTGTAATAGATATTAATTGGTGCATCAGAGACCTGCAGAATCTCTTCAGCTAAATGAGTAAGTGTGATTGCTTCTTGTGTTCCTCTTGTAAGAGCTATTAATTCAGCTTCATATGTCAAATTTGCTACCAGTGTTTGTCTTTTACTTGACCACAAAACTAATGAATTGCTCAAGTAAAATGCATATCCTGATATTACACAATGCCCTTCTTGCATCATACTGTCTATGTCTGTATATCCATTCAATATTGATTGATTTGTACTGCCAAGTTGGAGCCAGACATTGTTCATAGTTTTTAAGTACATATAACAATGTTTAAGTGCTAGATAATGCTCTATACCAGAGTCATTAAGGTATTTAGCTAACTGATTTGTTACAAATGCTATATCTGGCTGTATACAGTCTGCAATGTATCTAAGTGTGCCAACCATGTTCATGTATAGTATATCAGACATTTGTTCTCTATTGTTATTGGTTTGTAATACTGTTTTTAATTGTGTACTAGGCTGCATGAGTGTTTGTACACTTTGTTTGTTTGTTTGTTTGTAACATTCTATTATACTATTAATATAATGTGTCTGACACATCCTGATGAATCTATACTCTCTATTCTCTATACTAAGTAGCTAGTGTAATTTGCTACTGTCTGTATATTGTAAATAATATGTAATAGATTGTTTTATCATTGTAATAGTATTATTATTCATTACTACAATAGTAATATTGTTGACATGTACAAATAATATGGTTACAGTTATTTCTTTCTTCTTTGTGAAGAATACAGTGTTATCATGTTTGGATTTTGTTAATCTGTATTTAAGTAGTATATTAGATAGTGTTTTATACCATCTTCTACCAGCTTGTTTTAATCTGTATAGTGCTTTTGTTAATCATAATATTTGTTCCATTCTGTAGTCTGTCTATTAAGTTACCTGGAGGAGGTTTAACTATATATTTCTTTGTCTTCTGTCAATTGTCCATACAGATATGCCAATTTTATTATCTATCTGATGTATTTC